GAAACTATGTTTACATGCTGAATAGCAAACGAATATGTACGTAACAAAATACAGTCAACGAATACAATAATATAAAGAAAGTTCATATATAAGTTGTTATATACATAAAAAAAAATTAGCAAAGGAAGGAGGTGAAAGGTGTTTAGAAAAACGAAGGTGTTATCAAAGAAAGGGATAATATTTCTTTATATAGGGGAGGAGTCACGGAATAAATAGAATTATTAGATTGTGAATGTAAATCGATTGCTACTCATTATAAAGTTTTGCACAGCTTTGAATATAAGTGTATTTTGATCTACTATTAGTCTATCGGAGCCAAAAAGTAAGACATTAGTGGACATTCTGATAGGAATTTGTAGGTTGTGTTTTTCCGTCTTCCGAATTGGTATTCTTTTGGATCTATATGTAAATCTACAATACCTTCCCTAGTTTCAATTTAATATAACTGCATATATGCTTTACGTTTTTTATTAGTTTGTGCTATCCCTTTTTAAAGAGTCTTATTAATTTGTTAACTGCTGTTTAACTTACTTGGTTCCTGATAATCCTGTTGTATCCGTTCTACTTGATTTCTTGGTTGTTTCCTTTAGACAATTTTGTGTGTATACTTTCCACTGTTTAGTCTTCTGTCTAGTTTTACAGACAGCTGGAAATCTTATTCTTTTATCTGCGTTTCTAGTTGAGTAACGACAGTTCGTTGATAATCTTTGGTTTAACCTCTGCGATGCCTATGATCTTATAGGTTTTAATATCAGTCTTGTTCTATTCAGTCATCTAGATTATAATGTAATTGCCGTTCACCATTTGAAACTGTTTTATCATTCTTGAGGTTTTTTTATTCAAGGCAGTGTCTGCATGCGCGTACCCGCATATGCGGGTATGCGTAGCCAAATAGGCCGTCGTAGGCTGCGCGTACCCGCAACCGATTTTATAATAAACTGTCACATGATCGGGAATGAAACGTCAAAGACACTCGAAAATTATAAATGCACGTTAAAAGAATAAAATTATCATGACTGAATTTTAATAAATATATGTTAAAAAACTTGAGTGTGAAAGTTATTTTCTAATCAAATTCGAAACAGAAACATTAAAATATCTAAAAATAAAGGTTGAATGTATACACAAACTAACGTGCATTTACATTTTTAAAATATATATTTTTCTAACTAATACATTAAAACAAAATACAAATTAAAAAATACTATTTGCCATTCTCTTCACTGAATTCACAAAATCAGGAAATAACCGATAAGTTTCGTGTATCTTTCATTATAAAATCGGTTGCGGGTACGCGTAGCCTTCAAAGGCCAATCTGGCTACGCGTACCCGCAACCGATTTTATAATAAATTGTCATACGATCGGGAATGAAACGTGAAAGATACGCTCAAGTTTTTTTTAACACATATATATTCAAATTCAGTATGATTTTATTCTTTTAACGTGCATTTATAATTTTCGTGTGTCTTTGACGTTTCATTCCCGATCATGTGACAGTTTATTATAAAATCGGTTGCGGGTACGCGCAGCCTACGACGGCCAATTTGGCTACGCATACCCGCATATGCGGGTACGCGCATGCAGACACTGCCTTGAATAAAAAAACCTCAAGAATGATAAAACAGTTTTAGGAACTTAACAGACTGAAAGAGACTGTTTTAAAAACATCCATGTGACCAACTGGTGCCAAATTAAGATAATTTATAGTAAATCTTAGAAAGTGAATTTGGTGGAAAACCCTCTAATAGTTCGTTTCATTCATAAATCTGAAATCTGAAATAACTCGAAAGCTCAAGTTCTGATGGGAAGGTCTAAAAACAGGACAGATAAAACCAGGACAGTTATTTTCGATACGTTTTCATCTGTAACTTTTGTTTTAACCAACATATTGTTAAAATTTAAATTGTAGAATAAAGAACAGGGTATATACTTACATTATTTGTAAAAATATTTAAAATAAAAAATTAGTAAGTTAAAAAAAATCTGCCAGGACAGTTAAATTTTAAGAAAAAAAATGGCTGAAATTGCCGTGAAAAATTTACTTATAATTGAAATAATTTCTCCAAAACAACTGTCTGGCATAATGTTTTGGTTCGATTATAAAGTTTTGGGAATACTCATTCTAAAAATCTAGAATTTAATATTTTTTTCGATTTTTAAAGGTAAAAAAATCTGCCAGGACAGTAGCCTATTACGTTAGAAATTTTGTTGAAATCAGCTCAAAATCAAAATATAAAGTTAAATATCTTCTTCAAAATGTATGTCTGGTAATCAAATTTTGGTTCATTGGAAAGTTTGGAATATAAGCTTTATGAAAATATAAAATTATATGAACTTTTATTTTATTAACACAAAAACAATCTGCCAGGACAGTAGCCTACTCCGTTAAATTTCTGTTTAAATGGCGGAAATTAACAACGCAATTTCTAACTATAAATGAAATAGTTTCTGTATTGCGATTGTCTGGCATACTATTTTGTTACTGTTATAAAGTAACAGACCCAATATATCAAATGAAAATAAAGAAATTGAACAATTTTCATTTTTTAAAGTCAACAAAAATCTGCCAGGACAGTAACTTATTATGTCTTAATTAACTTGTGGAGAAATTTGTTTCAAATCGAAATAGAAAGTTGAATAGATTATTATTTTTTTGTTATTCGTTGTAAAGTTTAAACAATAAATTTTAGGAAAAGATAAAAATATTCATTTGATAATAGATTAATATCTCAAAAATCTGACCAACAGTCGTGCTATAGCTAAATATTTGGTTGGCACGTGCCAAACTTAACGACCAGTCATTGAATCTGTGAATCTGTGTATTTGTGTATTCTGTTATGTCAACCGTAAATGAGCGTGTGTTTACAAGTTATAAGTTTATTAATATATTAAGTGTGGTAATGAATACCTATGAGAAGATATTTATTGTTTTAAGTTATAATTATCAGAGACATATAATATGTATTATATGTATCTGTAATTATTTATTAAGAATATAGTTGAAAAAAAAACAATTCGAAACACTATTTGATTGTATATTTAAAATTTAAATGTGATTAGATCTCAATTTTACCGCAAGTATCAAAGAGTACTTGGAATCTGAGACTGTGTTATAGTAGTCTCAGAGCACACTAACAACATCTTCAGAAATACAACTTTCACATGATAAAAAACATCTGTTGGTCAAGTTACCAGAAGTTCAGAACCAAACTAATTCCATAGATTGTGGGTTGTTCACAATTGCAAATGCTGTAGAATTTTGTTTTACAAGTTTTTCAGGTGGGATACATGTAGAATTTGACACTGAACTTTTTAGAGAACATCTTGTGATTTGTTTGGAAAAAGGGGAATTCATTCCATTTCCAAAGAAAAAAATTAGCATGAAAGGTAAACCGAAATATAAAACTAGTCTGTTGGAATGTAATTGTGAGTGTGGCAAATGTGATTCAGTAGAAGACATGTTAGGGTGTGAATGGCAGAAAGGAGTTAAGAAATGCAACATTTGGAAACACGTTTCGTGTACGGGGATGAAAGAAGGCGACACATTCCTGTGCTCTAGTGACAGTCACATTACTAATTAGTGAAAATAAACACCTTTTGAAGGATTTGACACCAATCATTGACTTTGAAGTTTTTATTACTGTCAAAACATAATTTACCTGACTTAATTTGTAAAGATTTTACTTGTATTCCGATATAAAAAAAAAACATTTTGCAGTTTTTAACACTTGTTTTTTTTTATGTATTGTATGATGATTTATATATGTGTATGTGTAAGAAATGTTTTTGATTAATAAAATATAAGCCCATGCCCTTGTCTGCTGCCTTTAATAAACTGAAAAGAGATCATATTAATCAACATAACAAAATAAGTAAATAATGTTTTAATGAACACACCAATAATTATGTTTTCTAAATATATTCACTTTAATGATTCTAACAATGATAAAGCTTAAACTGCAAACTTTGAATAAAATAAAAAAATCATTCTTTGAAAATTATTTTAAATTTGAAACAAATTTCTTCACTAGTTCCAATGTAATATAGTACTGTCCTGGCAGATTTTTTTTACTTAGAGAAATGATTAAAAAATAAATTTATAGATTTTTTGAATGATTTGGTCCTAATAAAATCAAAAAAGTATGCCAGACAATGGTAATAAAAATACTATTTCATTTATGATTAAAAAATTACGTTGATTTCCGCCATTTATTCAAAAATTTAACATAGTTGGCTAAGTACTGTCCTGGCAGATTTTTTTTATGTTTACAAAATAAAAGTTCATAAAATTTTATATTTTCATAAAGCTGATAATACAAACTTTCTAATGAACACACATTTTCTTGCCAGACATGCATTTTGAACAAAATATTCAAATTTATCCATTGATTTTAGGCGAATTTCAACAAAATTTCTGACGCAAAAGGCTACTGTCCTGGCAGATTTTTTTTGTGTTAATGAAATAAAAGTCCATATTTTTTTATATTTTATCGAAGCTTATATTTCAAACTTTCCAATGAACCAAAATTTGATTACCAGACATTCATTTTGAAGAAGATATTTAACTTTATATTTTGATTTTGAGCTGATTTCAACAAAATTTCTAACTTAATAGGCTACTGTCCTGGCAGATTTTTTTACCTTTAAAAGACAAAATAAATATTGAATTATAGATTTTTGGAATGATTATTCCTTAAACTTTATAATCGCACAAAAATATTATGCCAGACAGTTGTTTTGGAGAAATTATTTCAATTATAAGTAAATTTTTCTCGGCAATTTCAGCCATTTTTTTCTTAAAATTTAACTGTCCTGGCAGATTTTTTTTAACTTATTAATTTTTTATTTTAAATATTTTTACAAATAATGTAAGTATATACCCTGTTCTTTATTCTACAATTTAAATTTTAACAATATGTTGGTTAAAACAAAAGTTACAGATGAAAACGTATCGAAAATAACTGTCCTGGTTTTATCTGTCCTGTTAATAGACCTTCCCAGTTCTGATGACGTATTACACACTACACATTGGATATTGCACGTTGTCGAGAAAGTTTCTTATGATTTCGCAATCATCTTGTTTTTAAACCGAAGATTTGAATTTCTGATATCAGTGCTATGGCTGTCCGTGCTCAGTTTGAGGGAAATAATGAAATTGGTGTGTTCAGTAAACTGACAAATTCATATTGCCTAACTGCAATAGGTGGTTCTGAAAACTTTTACAGGTGAGATAATTGTGGCTATCGAAAATTCTAAATCAACCTTTTTTTTAACATGAACAATACTCAACAATCTGCTGAAGCTAAATGAATTTGTAATGAATTAAGGGAAAACGGGCTTGCGTGTAACCATTTCCTTTTATTCCCATTTATCGGTATGTCAAGCAAACTTTAATAATTGGATTGTTTTGAGTCGGTATAATTTGTTCTTCAGACTCCCTTTTCCGCATACGAATCAATCTTAAAAATGCATAACTATTGGTTTTATTGGTGCACCTTTTTTGTATTGACTTGTTCGTGATCAGCTGCAGAGCTCCAGATAAGAATTCACAAATTGGGGTTTTTACCCATAATTTTTTTATGTAATTGGGTGATAAAGTTTTTTAATTGCATTATCGATTCCAATTCACCCCTCAAACAAATATCAAATTGGGTTTTTCACCACCAAGCTCCTTAATGTATTGGGTTTTTTCATCAACACAATATTGAATATTTAGGCATGTTAAAATCACATTATATCAACCCAAGATGTGTTTCCATCTTTAATGTGTTTCTTTCTTTGTACATGTGCTTAGCTGTTTTATTTGGTTTATTCACTGACGAGCAGTTGTACGTTTAATTTGTGTCCCGTTTTAAACGTTCTGTCAGTTTTGTATTTTCTCAAAACTTATGTAAACTGCAGCTGGTGTCACTAGTTGAACAGTAACTAATTGCCTTTCTAGATCCCATATGATCACCCTACAGTTTATAGTTGGGGTAGGTGTGGCTAAGTGTTTAGATTTTTATGTAATATATGTGAAATTTAGGTGCTGTAAGAAAGTTTTGCCAGTCCTTTCACCTATTTGCCAGATCTACTTTTTAATAAAAATAAAAAGTAGTTCCCAGATTTAAGATATACCCCAAAACCTTGAGATTTATAGGGTGGTTTAATGATGGAGACCACATTCAACTTAAATTTACAAATAATTCTGCAACATCAAGTAAATAAATGACAATGTTATACTGCACTTGCCAATAAGACAACTATCTTAAGCATCCAGAACAATTAGACCAAAACAAAGAAAGTGTCAAGCTGCATAATTTGACGTAAAAAACGGATATGTGTATTCATCAACTAAAATGAAAAAAATAATATATAAACTGTTTTTGTTTAATTCAATTTATATAAATCTGGGTTAAGTTGTCCCTTATCAGAACTTTTGGTTTCCGATGCTTTCCAACTACATATCATGTCATAATTGATTTGGCCTTTCACTTTTTCCAACTGATTTCGTTTTTGACGAAACCCCGTGTTTATCGTTCTATAGCAATGTTCTCGTTAAGGTACGCAAACACGCCCGTGCGTTCAATGGATGCTTCCTAAAATCACTAGCTGAGTCCTGTTATCATCATAACTTTCCCTCAGCTATCAAAAAGAAGCCGAAAACATGCTTCTATTCAATATTTTTATCGGACATTTACTTTCGTTTTAATTCATTGTATGTTATGATAAATCCCGAGCATTTCGAAAAAATATGACAGTATGTCACACGCTAATTGGATAAACGCCGAGAATATCGAAATGTTTTCATAAACACGTGTACCTTTTGAGCAACGGAAAATTCCAACAGGGACCCATTACAGCTACTTGATGCAGGGCTCTATTTTAAGAACGAAAGGACATTTCCAATTATAAATATTATAAAAATAGATTTACGCGACGACTGTAATCAGATAAGGGTAAATAACGCAAAGGATAGCGAATAAAAGCGTTAAGAACTCATGGTTTTGGCATATAATTGGGTTTTCCGTTGAATTAATTGGGTTATTGAACCCTGCAATGGGCAATTGCATTGGGTTTTTAATTATTTGTATTGCGTGATCACGCAAATACGCAGCTTATCTGGAGCTCTGCAGCTGATTGCTTTGGTCTCATCATAGCGGCCAAAACCAGTATCAGGCCTATGACTAAGCCAATGATATTATCTATTTCATATTATTATGTTACAGCCTACATATAACAATATTGTTTGCATCACTCTTTGAAGGTCGATTGTCTCCGTCGAGTTCTCTTGCATATTCAATAGGCAAATTAGTAGATCAGCATTATACTGGTTTATAAATAAATTGTCGTCAATGAATCAGTTGAACACTCCGTTTATCGAGGTATAACTAGACCTTGTCATTACACATAATTCTTCTTGGTGTTTACTTAATTCTCTGAGCTTTCGGGGGGCTTCGCCCCATGCCCCCTACCAAGGCTTTACCCAAGACCCCTTGTCGACAGATTCTGCGTGCACTGCACGCAGAACCTGGCTACGCCCCTGATGGTTGCCAATGCCATATAAACATTTTGATGTCATAGGTACATTCGTGGTGTCTTAGGTAAACACCAGACATTTTAGACTGCACATTTTGGTATACTTTTGAAGAAACTACATACCCAAAAAGTCTGGAATTCAAAATGATAGCTGACTGTAAATTGTATATGTTGTAGTTACAGAATGGTAGAATATTGAATCTACCTCCAGAAAATATATGCAATGACAACCTTTAAAAACTGTTGTTAAAAACGAATTGCAATAGAATGGTATTATACTTAGACAAAAAATACTAAGGTCTTGTCAGGCTATTTAAAAAAAAAAAGAATCCTGTGACAGTCACAGCAAATAATTAAAAAAAATAGTCTTAACTGATGCCATAATAATTATTTGTACTATGTAATATACCACAAAACAGCAGGTGTTAATTTACAATGTTAAAAAATTGAACTTTGGATTTCATAATATTCTTCTTCTTCTTCGACGATATACGGGAATAGACTCCTAGCTAGGAGTGTAAAACTTCCCGGAACTTGTGTGCTATGTACATATGGACTTAATTTAAAAATAATATGACAAAGAAAAATCATTAACAATAACATACAAATGTATATACATTATGTACAGTGGTTTTGTAGTTTAATAAGTTGTTGTGGATCCTTCAAATGTTAGAGTGGATATGCCACTTTTGAAGGATTCCAGGGTGTCAGACATACCTATTGCTTCAGGTAGTGAGTTCCAGTCCGAAATAGTGCGAGGATAAAAAGAAAATTTATAGAAATCTTTATTTGTTGATATTTGCCTAAATTTATGTTTCCCCCTAGTACGTCTATCAGATATTGTTAAATTGTCCTTAGGAACTTCCACTAACCCCCACTTTATTTTATATAGCATAGTTAATCTAGCTTTTTTCCTTCTTATTTCTAAATTTTCCCATTCCAATGATTTAATTAAATTTGAAACTGCTCCAGGTGATCTGTCTTTATAATCATTGAAGACAAACCTGGCTGCCTTACGCTGTACCTGCTCAACCTGAGTGATGTGTTGCTTTTTGTACGGATCCCATACAGGGGAAGAGTATTCGACGACTGGACGGACAAGTGATGTGTACGTAAGGTTTTTAATCTTACGTGTGCAGTTTTTTAAGTTCCTACGAAGAAAACCTAAGGTTTTATTTGCCTTACAGGTAATATTGTTTATATGTGTTCCCCAATCAAGATCATGGCTTATAGTTACGCCTGAATATTTACTGTCTTTTACTGCTTCTAAAACATGATTGTGCAATATATAATCAAAAGTGGAAGGTTTACTTTTTTTAGAAATATGAATAACATAACACTTCTCAGGATTAAAATTCATTTGCCAGTCCTCTTCCCATTGTACTAAACTAGATAAATCTTTTTGAAGTAATTTGGCATCAGAACTATTATTAACATTTCTATACAATAAACAGTCATCTGCAAAAAGTCTTGCATTGCAAGTTACATGTTCGGGTAGGTCATTAATAAAGAGTAAAAATAATGTTGGGCCTAAAACTGTTCCCTGAGGGATACCAGAATCAACAGCTAATTTTGAAGATTTAACACCATTTAATAGTACCTGCTGTTGCCTGTCAGCTAAAAAGTCATTTATCCAATTTAAATTTTGATTCCTAATACCATAAAAGTTTAATTTCTGGGCTAATCTTTGATGGGGGACTTTATCGAAAGCTTTGGAAAAATCTAAAAGTATAACATCTATTTGGTTACCATATCCCAATGATTTTGCAAGATCTTGTAAACTCACAAGACCTTTTACTTCTAAACCCATGTTGACTATCATTTAATATATTATTAATTGTAAGATGTTTCCTTATGTTGCTTGTTATAATGTGTTCTAGAATTTTGCAACATATTGCAGTTAATGAAGCTATAATGGCACAAATATTCATGTAAAAGGCAACATAACAAAGACAAAATGACTGAAATATCATCTGGATAAAACTTAATGACCTTCAAAAAATATTTTTGAAGGCCATTTACTTTTATTTAGTTCTCATTTGAACTATGGTCTCAAAATAAAAATGTTTCCATTTACATGAATCTGACTGAGTGCATTATATCATAAAACAACATTAGATTTATAAAGTTATGACATCATATATTCAAAATATATAATCTGTGCATATTTCATGAAAATGGAGAAAAATGCTGGTCTTATGCAATTTTTCATCCATACTTACTTGGTAGAAGCAATCACCACAGCCAAATGATACTTTGTCTGCCGATTTGAGATGTTTGACAATAAAATATAACTATAAATATGTTAATTTAACATTTATTTCAAAATGTATTTTTCAGTGTGTTTGAAGGTGAATTATCAGAAACTATACCTGTAGTGCATGTCAGTCTTGCAGGATGCAGAATTATTGGGAGGATGTGTGTAGGTATGTACAGGACTCTAGTCATTGATAATAGTTAAACATAAATATACCTACATGTATTGTTTCACGGTCAATTTTAAAATTTCCAGAAATGAAAAAATTGAATTGATACCATATCTATTATCAAAGGTACAATGTACATGAATGCATGGCATGTGTATTTGTACAGCAGATTGTTGCTTCTTTTCTTTAACAAGTAAATAAAATCATTTTGAAAAAGTTTTCTAATTGCTTTTGCCAACTTTGTAAAGTTTGTTGCATGGAAAAAATTTTTTTTTTTAACAAAATTGCAATGTCAGGTATTTTATACTGTAACCAACATATTTAAGAGAGATTTTGATAATACTGGAGATCCAAAGGGAACTAATAAATATTATCTCCCCTTGTAGGTAAGGCAATTATAGAGATTATTGACTTGATAAATGTTTCAAATTGTAAAAATTTTGTAGTGCATTTAAAAATTAGTATACTTGCACTTGCACATTTATGTCCTGTTTTTTTTTTTAACCAGGAAACAGAAATGGTTTACTTGTTCCAAACACAACAACAGATCAAGAATTACAGCATATAAGAAATTCCCTTCCTGACACTGTAAAAATACAGAGAGTTGAGGAACGGTTATCTGCCCTTGGCAATGTTATCACATGTAATGATTATGTTGCCTTGGTACATCCAGATTTAGACAGGGTAAGTAAATGAAACTCTTTAACTGTTTTCGGATAGAACATTACTTTTGATGACACGAAGTTTTAATTCAAAACAACAAGTTCTACAATAGTACAATTATTAAAAAGTCTTTCAAAACTATGACGGGTATGTCATCAGTGTTGGAAAGATATTTTCAGTGCTCATTAACAAGAGTCAGCTTGACTCAGCCATAAACAGCCTAAATGTATGTTTGATGTACAGTAACACCACTTTAAGCTTTTACACATTTACGAATTTACAGTTTCCTGGCAAAGAGTTTTATGAACAAAGAAAACCAAAGCTTTTACATGTATGCATATACAGTTTCCTGGCAAACAGTTTTATGAAAAAAGAAACTAGTATGCTACACATATTGAAAAAACTTGCCAGCTATAGCTCTATCACCTACAAGTTGATTTTATAAACCATGTGTCAATTTTGCAGTTGACTGAAACAAGACATGATTTAGAATTGAAAAGATAAATTGAAGGGGTTTGTTTCCGTTAGATGTCAATTACATTTAGTTACAGCCTATATGTATTTAATTCATTTTAAACTAAATGCATATAAAGTGAAATATTTAGACATGTTAATTCATGACTTTCCAGAACTACACACAAGGTCATAATGGAGAGGAAAAACAAGAATGAACAGAGAGTTTTCATGATGAACAGAAAATAATCCAAAAGCTTGAACAGTTCATTTCAACCTTAACTTGACCAATGATAAAAGCCATATAGCAAACACATTGCACAAAAAAAATTTTACTATATAGAAATGTAGAAATTCTTCATATACATAACACCTCTGTCTTGACATGCTAGGCACACAATTGCCAAAAGATGTAAAAAATGGTCTGTTAGTTCGTCTCTCTTGCAAGATGACTAAAAAATCAAGTCTATGTGTACAGATGATTTGAAGGGCGAAAATTCCTATCTATTTGGTCAATACATAAGACCTATATAGATATAAAATATTATATATAACTATTATAGGAAACGGAAGAAATAATCTCTGATGTGTTGAAAGTAGAAGTATTCAGACAAACAGTTGCAGACAATGTTTTAGTGGGAAGTTATTGTGCAATCAGTAATCAAGGAGGACTGGTAATTTGATTTTAACCAACTTTGAACAAATATAAATATAATATAATCAGACTGCAATCATGGTGAATGAAATATAATTACCGTATTATTGAACTATGTAAAGGTCAGTTCAAAATAGAACTTATAGGCTTCCAATGAAATTAGAATATGCCAAAACTATTGCCAGTAAATTTAAATTTGGAATTTTAGAATTATAGAGTTTAAATTGGTGAATTTTAATTTGCAATGAAATTTGACACTGGTCCTGTATAGTTGACCATTAAACATTAAAATACAGACATTTTGACATTTTTTCTAGTATTACCTGTAATAAACACATGTACACCACAGAACAGACAAAATTAATATACACGTTGTATTAAGTACAAATATACTTGAAAAGTGTGTAGGTATTCTATCTGAATACATATGCCATGGAATCTGCCTTTGAATGTTTTGCAATCAATTATTGTGTCGAAATGAATTGTAGGTACATCCAAAAACCACCATAGAAGATCAAGACGAATTATCATCATTATTACAAGTTCCACTGGTGGTAAGTTTCTTTAGCCTAGAAGAATATAATAGGTAATAAAGTTATAAAAAGCTGAGATATAGCCCTTTCCATTAGCCAAAAGTGGTACTTATTATGTGATTGAGTTAATTCCCTTTGAACAGAAATGGTTAATTATATATATATAAAGTTTGATTACACTTACAGATAAGTTTTATAGATTTTTAAAGGACATTAAAATTGAGAATGGAAATGGGGAATGTGTCAAAAAGACAACAACCCGACCATAGAGCAGACAACAGCTGAAGGCCACCAATGGGTCTTCAATGCAGCGAGAAACTCCCGCACCCGGAGGCGCCTTCAGCTGGCCCCTAAACAAATAAATATACTAGTTCAGTGTTAATGGACGTCATACTTAACTCCAAATTATACACAGGAAACTAAAATTGAAAATGATACAAGACTAACAAAGGCCAGAGGCTCCTGACTTGGGACAGGCGCAAAAATGCGGCGGGGTTAAACATGTTTGATGAGATCTCAACCCTCCCCCTATACCTCTAGCCAATGTAGAAAAACAAACGCACAACAGTACGTACAGTAAAACTCAGTATAAGAGTAGTCCGAGTTCGATGTCAGAATAGGAAACAAAAGAAAATAAACAAAATGACAATAATACATAAATAACAACAGACTACTAGCAGTTACTGACATGCCAGCTCCAGACCTCAATTAAACTGATTGAAAGATTATGTCTTCATCATATGAATATCAGGCACAATCCCTCCTGTTAGGGGTTTAGTATTATACTGTCATAAAATATATGAGAAGAACATAACCCGTGTCATGCCAACAACTGGTTTTAGAATAAATGTGTTAATTCCGATGCAAAGACCCTATAAGTGAATCAATATTAAAGCCAAAATATGCAATCTTTAATGACCTGACAACAGTATCGTAACTATATCCCTTCTTAATAAGTCTGTTTAAAGGTTTTGTTAGCTTTTGAGGTGAATACTGACATTTTTGTGCTTTGTAAAGAATATTACCATAAGAGATTGGATGTGAAATACCCGAACGTATAAGATGTCTGCATGTTGAGTTATATTTACGAATGATGTCCTTATACCGATGATAAAATTTAGTAAATGTTTTGACTAGTTTATGATATCGAAAACCCTGGTGTAATTATTTTTCAGTAATACATAAATTTCTCTCGCTAAAATCTAATACGTTGTTACATACACGAGCGAATCGTACAAGTTGAGATATATAAACACCATAAGATGGTGACAAGGGAACGTCACCATCTAAAAATGGATAATTAACGATAGGAAATGAAAAATCATCTCTTTTATCATAAATTTTTGTATTAAGCTTCCCGTTAATGATATAGATATCAAGATCCAGGAAAGGACAGTGGTCATTTTTAGTATTAGCTTTATTTAAAGTAAGTTCAACAGGATAAATTTCTTTAGTATACATACTGAAGTCGTCATTATTTAGAGCCAATATATCATCCAAATATCTAAAAGTATTGTTTAATTTTTGTATAAGATGTTGTTTCGATGGGTCTTTGCTGATTTTAGTCATAAATTGTAACTCATAACAATACAAAAATAGGTCCGCAATAGGTGGTGCACAGTTAGTCCCCATTGGAATTCCGATAACTTGACGATATACGGAATCTCCAAAGCGAACAAAAATGTTATCAAGTAAAAATTCAAGGGCAGATATAGTATCAAAGCATGTCCAATTGACATAGTTCTTTTTTTGTTTCTACTAAAAAATGACCTAAAAGAGTTTGAACATATGTATTCGCATTCAGACTATTTAAATGCCCATTTAATTAGGTGTGTGAATTTTTTTGTATTAATGATAAATGACATTTCTGATTTTTTTATACCCCCGCCCTAGCGGAGGGGGCATTAAGTTTTACCCTTGTCCATCTGTACGTCCGTCCGTACATCCCAAAATTGGTTTCCGTTCTCTAACTTAAGTTTGCCTCAACCAAATATTATGAAACTTATACACAATGCTTAAAACCACAAAACACAGATCAAGTTTGAATTTTGGTTGTGTCACTTTTACCGTTCTAGAGTTATGCCCCTTTACAAATTGAAAAATTTATCTTTTTTGTTTCCGTTCTCTAACTTTAATTTATTTTTCGTTTCCGTTCTCTTAAGTTTGCATGGACGTTAAGCAACCAACAACCAATCTTAAGTTTCCATCAACTAAATGTTATGAAACTTATACACAATGCTTATTACCACAAAACTCAGATCAAGTACAAATTGGGTAGCATCACTTTTACAGTTCTTCAGTTATGTCCCTTTATAACATTACATTTGTATATGCAAGCATGGGCATCATCTGTGTCCCATGGACACATTCCCCATTTATTTTATTTTCCTTGGTAAATTGTTTGAAGAATTTTGTGGTAGGTTTGTTTGTTATTCTGTATAAACTAATTTTCTGAATGCTATATATATATATTTTTTTTTTTTGATGAAGTGAACTCCTTTAAAAACTTAAGCTTATATTGTCTATTAATAAACATATATTTAGATTTCTAATTTTGGGCCCAGTTTTAAAGTTGGTCCAAATCGGGGTCCAAAATTAAACTGTGTTTGATTTCAACATAAATTGAATATATATAGGGTTCTTTGAAATGCTGAATCTAAACCTGGAATCTAAACCTGTATTTATTTTCATTATTAATTAGATAATACCACAGTGAGGTCCAAAGGGTCCTAAATTAAACTTTTGTTTAATTTCATCAAAAATTGAATTCTTGGGGTTTTTTGCTATGCTGATTCTAACAATGTTTTAGTGGTTAAATCATATCTAATTTTAGAGAACTATTTCTGTTGATTACATCACTGGTTCATGGAAATAAGTTTTGAGTTATTTTTGAACAGAAATGGTATATTTTATTTTTACTTGATCCTGTTTGTGGGTTCAGATTTGCAAATATCATTTTCATTATTAATTAGATAATAATCTATTTTAAATATTCCAATCACAATCCAAATTCAGAGCTGTTTTAAGCTTAAATGTTGTGTCCATACTTGCGTAACTGTTCAGGGATCAACCTCTGCAGGAAAATCCGGTTTGCTGTCACTCTGACAGCCTCTTGTTATATAGATAGCTTGTGTAGTTCTGGTGCACAATTTAATGAAGTGTAACTAGTCTTTGGAAACCTAAACCTCACTTCACCCATCTATGTATATGTTCTAAGTAAAATGTACAATGAAAATCTTGTCAAGTTGAGCTACCAACAAGATATCCACTAATGTGAACAGAGAATGTACATGTATGTAGGTATGTTTCATAATATTCCTGGCTAGTATGAAGTTATCATAATTTATATTTTATGAAAGCTTAACTAAACAGATGGAATGATTTACTATGTATATTGCTGATATGAACAAGGTGACTTTGGATATATGCCAATTAAAAAGCACACAACAACACTAGATCACCAAAAATAGGCTGAAAAAGAAAGGCGAAAGATACCAAACAGACAGTCAAACTCATAAGTCGAAAACCAACTGTCATTGCTATGGCAAAAACAAAAAACAACCAAAACACAAACAACAGTACACAAAACACAAAATAGAAAACTAAAGACTCAGCAAAATGAACCCCTAGTAAGCACATTGTCTTTAATGGATGGAAAAAACTAACATGGCAAGCTGTAATTCACCCCAAGTTCAAATTCTCTTCCTATTTTAGGCAGGTACAGTGAACAGAGGCAGTGATGTGATAGCAGCAGGTCTGGTAGTCAATGATTGGATAGCATTTTGTGGACTTGATACAACCAGTACAGAATTATCAGTAGTAGAAAGTGTATTTAAACTTGGCGATAGACAACCTAGCTCAATATCCACAGAAATGAGAGAAAGTTTAATTGATAGGTAAAAAACCTACTAAAATAATTTGCAAGGGTTAGAGATTGTGCTGTTGACTAATTCTGTCAAAAACTATGCACATTTTAACCAAATTGTTAAATTTTCTGTTACCTTCAGGGCTCAACATTACCGTTTGTCCGATTGTCCGGGACAAGTGGACACAGGCGTCGAGCAAGTAGATTCATCATACTACTTGTCCGATGGGACAAGTGAAAAATCGATGTCAGATGTTAAAAAGATCAAATTCAAGACTTATACATTCCCAAAAAATTGAATGATTGTTTTAATGATTATTCAACATGAAAGAAATATTCTTTGATTGAACCAGAGAACTATAATATGTCTCTGATTGAACGTATTTGAACATGCTGGCAGCGGATGACCATGGGAATATAAGTAAGGGGGAAAGACACCAATGGTAATGCTTCTTCTTAGTATAAGCCTCCTGGAATTAGGAGCACCTCCAAATGGAGTTTTACCTTAACTTAAAATTTTTAAATTAAAGTATGTTTCATTTGATTTTGCTTTTATCACTGTTTATGCAAAACAATACATTAAAAAAAAGGTTTTATTTGAAAAGATCTATGTATAAAAATAATAAGTTTAAAAAGATGTAAAAATTATCTAAAATCTGAAAAGACATATTTTCTTAGTGAAATGTACTTCATTATCATTTATCAATGTATATAAAAATCAAAATAAAATTATAAAATCTTGTTTTGCCATCATCAATAAATTAAAAAGGTTTAATTATATACAAGGTGGCCAGGTGTATTTACATCCTTGGTTTAACCCATACCACTACTACAGAATGAATAGGTCCAGAGGAGAACCTAGTGATTTGGGAAGTGATAATGGTTTAATGATCAACACATCATAGTGACATTGAGTAAATCTTGCAAATAATCTTTCAGTCTGAAATATATAAATGAATTTTGATGTGGTATTCTTTAATTGTACTTACAAACAAATTCATATAACATAACAAAATGCTCCCTTTATTAAATACAATCAAAGCTCAAGTGTTATTAGTGCATATCATCAATATGTAAGATTTTCAATTATGAATTCGGACAAGTGAGTTAAGAGTTCGGACAAGTTGATTTTCTTGCAACTTGTCCGAAGGGACACGTTAGAAAAAATGATAATGTAGAGGCCTGACCTTTGACTTTTATACGACCAAATTGACACTCTTAACATCAGGAGCATGAATTTTACCATTTAAAACAAAAATGTTATACATGTTTAAACATTTCTCGTGTATTTTCAATATCTGTGGATAAATCATTGGTTCAGTGATAATAAAATTTATGGCTTTTAAGCTTTAAGTTTATGCATAACAGACACGAAAAAATAAATAAATCAATTGCAAATATGCATTTTGTTGTGCATACACAAATCTTGCGTTTGTCACCCATTGCATGAGGTAAAATTTTACGAATATAAAATTTGTTGTCACAAGAGGAAACCTTTGACACTTGAGTACCATAAGGGATTTTTCAAATGTCATTAGGTTCAATAGCACTAAAAAAATATCAGTCATAGTAAAGTTCTCAAATGTGAAATTGCTATATTTATATTTGTGGTTTTGATAATTTACAAAATCGATTAAAATATAAAAGAATTTCCTAATCTGTAAAATGAAACCTTTTTCTGCATACAGTAATGCAACATGATTTTGTTTATTTCAGTATGACATAAAGACAGCAAAGCAATTACAAATGGATGAATGAAGAATGCTTGTGTGCAAGGAGATGTGAATGTTTAACCAGATCACAAACTGAGAACCCATATATACAACAGGACTAATTGGTGATGTTGCAGAGTAAAGTACTATCTGGAGAATCCTTTTAGTCTCATATACTAAGTTGAAAAAAAACATGGAAAGCTTCAGCATTTATAAACTTATTGGTAAAAATTAATACATATGTGTATAGTATTTTTCTGATAAACTGTTTAGAATACTTATGCCCTGCCTACATTAATAAAGGGCCATTAGGTTTTATACGCCCGTTTACGGGACATATTATGATATACCGTTGTACGTCCGTCTGTCGTCAACATGTCGAACAATAACTCAAAAACCCTTAAAACCAATTTGCATGAAACTTTGGTAAATTATTTATATCTATTTACATGAGCTTCCTTTCGATTTTTATAAATTTTATAAATTTTTAATATGACATTGAGAAGTTATTGAACTTTATTCTTTGGAAAAGCGATGGGCATATCATGCGCTCATGGCGCAGCTGTTTATTAAGTCTGTGGGTCTGGCAGTCTGTCTGTCTGTCTTGTATCAGATTAAAGTTTTGGTTAATGAAAATTGTGAACACATCAACATGAAACGTAGTACACAAAACGGGTTTTGTGCATTGAACATTATTTCAGAGGAAGTCATTGGAAAAACAAAACATATATTCTATATTTAAATAAAATAGAAAGTTGATTAATTTTTTTGGTATATATAAAAGAAAAGAGCTAACCATTGAAATTTTGAAGTACAGGAAGGATTGGGATCCATTATAATAAATCAAGAGTGCTATAGATATTAAAGTAACTCCATCACTGATATTAAGTTTTGTTTTGTTAAGAGATATTTGCATTTTGAATACTCTAAACACAAAGAAAATTGGGAGCTTTTAATTCTTCATTGTACATGTGAAAAGTTTGTTGAACATCTAGAATTTATGTTTATATATATCCCTAAAACAGTTATCTTGAGAAATGATATCAGCATGTTGCAAAAAAAAAATTAAACATTCTCATGTTAACAAGTAGGAAAGAAGAATCTAGGAACAGATAAAAGAATAATGTAAAATTGAAGTGATTATTGATTAAACATACAAATGTATATGTCAAATTGTCAATGCAGAATGAAATAGTTACAAGGTTAATAATTTTATCATGTTAACAAATATGTGAAAGTGCCAATTACATTTATTATAAATTGTCATCTAGAATTTATTTTCTAAATACTGTAAGTAAATAAATATCAAGATCTGTAAACTTTTGTCTGTTTTTGTTTCGCCTGTGATTAAAGTCACAGTAAGGAAGACATAGGTAGTACTATCCAGCGGTGGCTCAATGTAAACTTTTTGTATAAAGCTTTATATTTCAGAAGCTAGAAGACCTGGATGCTTCATACTTTGTATGCAAATACCTTACAAAGTTTCTGTCTGTCATATGTCCATTGTCCTTGACCTCATTTTCATGGTTCAGCGACTGCTTGAAAAAGTTTTTTTTTTTTGTCATGTGAATTTCTCACTTATTATGAGTTATAGGATAACTGTATTTGGTATATGGGTTCCATGCAACGTCTACATGTCCATCAGACAGGGTTCACCGGTCCTCAACCTGATTTAATGGATCCGTGATCAAGGTTAAAGTTACTAAATTAGGTCCATTTCTCAGTTACTATAAGCAGTAGGTCAACTATATGTGGTGTATGGAATGATTGTAAGGGGTACATGTCCGTCTGGCAGGTTTTATCCTACCTTGACCACATTTTCATGGTTCATTGGTCAATGTTACGTTTTTATACGACCGCAAAAAATTTGCGTTCGTATAATGCTATCACAACAACGTCGTCGTCTGAAGACATTAGTTTACAGAAAAATAAGTTTAGTTTAAGTGTATGAATCTCTATGAATTTTAACCAAAAGGTTCAAAACCACAAAAGGAAGGTTAGGATTGTTTTTGGGGGTGATGGTCCCAACCGTTTAGGACGGGGTACATGTCCGTCTGGCAGGTTTCATCCGACCTTGACCACATTTTCATGGTTCATTGGTCAATGTTACGTTTTTATACGACCGCAAAAAATTTGCGTTCATATAATGCTATCACATCAACGTCGTCGTCCGAAGACATTAGGTTTACGGAAAAATAAGTTTAGTTTAAGTGTATGAATCTACATTTTACAAAAAGAAAATTTCTTCAAATATTATTTTTTTTGGAAAGGGGGGTAAATTTTTTTCCCTCAAGATTTAAGAAATTATCAATTTTCCCCCAAAAAAATTGGGGGTCACAATTTATTTTGCCTATTCTTTGTATATAGTCTGAAAACAGATTTACTCAGTATTGTGCAACAGCACAGTGTATTGCACAACAGCAAGAAATCTTCAATTGAATATAAATTCAAATCATATAATCAATTTCAAGTTCTTTGACTACATTTATTCTGTGTCAGAAACCTATAATGTGTCAAATATTTAATTACAATCCAAATTCAGACCTGTATCAGGCTTGAATATTGTGTCCATTTTTGCCCAAACTGTTCAGGACCTCTGCAGTCGTATCCAGCTGCGCTCGGCGAAGCAGTTTATTGTGTTTTGGTCTGTTATAGAATTACCATAAGCAAGAGGTCAACTATATTTTGTGTATGGAATAGTTGCAAGATGTACATGTCTATCTGACAGGATTTATCTGATCTTGACCTCATTGTCATGGATCTTTAAAAATGTTGAGTTTATGTGATACTTTTAGTAATACCTTTATCTTTAAGACTTTCAACATAAAATCCAAGATAGTCACCATGTGCTTTTTGCTGATGTTAAGACACCAATATTAATCTATTCTGTGAGTGTTCAAGGTTTACAAAAATAAGAAGATGTGGTATGATTGCTAATGAGACATTTTTCCACCAGATTCCAAATGATGTTAGCAATTATTGGTCATGCTTCAAATAAGATAACAAACTTGACTGCATTAGCTCAATATATTATTTGAAAATATTGCAAAAAAGAGAACTACCCAATCTCCTTATTCTTATACTGGTATTTGCCTCAAGGCCAACCTTCTCAAGATCAACTCCATCCAGTATTTGAATTGATCTTTGATATAAATCTTGACAAAATCAAGAGACATGGGGAATAAGTGAAAAGGACCTACCTTTACTTGAATGCCAACATTTACCTTTCAGTGCATAAACGTAGTATGTCTTTTAGTTAAGGTGTCATTTCAACAAATGCCATTTCAGAATCTTGTATGTCACTTCAGTGTTAAATAAAGCTTGTTTTAATGTTGGATTGATTGATTGATTGATTGATTGGTGTTTTAACGCCACTTTCAACACTATTGTGCTATTTCGTGGCGATCAGTTTATATTGGTGGAGGAAGCCGGAGTACCTGGAGAGAACCACCGACCTTCGGTAGGAAAACTGACAATCCTAGACAATTAAGATTGGAATGGAGTGCACCTGCCAAGTGCGGTATTCGAACTTGCAACCTCAGTGTTGACTGGCTAGTGATACAGTAGTTCGACTACTTAGACCACTCGGCCACCAAGGCCCCTTAATGTTGGACAACATAATTTCGTATAAAAAGATTTGTATAAATAACAAGGTGTGGTATGATTGCCAATGAGACAACTCTCCACAAGAGACCAAATAACACAGAAATTAACAACTATAGGTCACCGTACAGCCTTCAATAATGATTAAAACCCATAAAGTGACTTATATAATGGTTCTTGAGTGGGATGCACACACAAGGATAAACAACAAGACCAATACCAGCTCTGGACCAGCGTTGCTGCATGCAATTGATGGAGGTACCATGTATACTGAAGCATAACTGGTCATTGTCTCTCATTAAAGACCAAAAAAATGTCATGAAAAGTTTCCTTGTACAATGAGTTGTAAAATTTTAAAATATCTGCAAGCAGGAAGAGGCTGCATGGCAGATGTAAAAATTTACTACTCGCATGCAAAAGTTGCTGTCTTAAATTGTATGCCAGTTGAAAGTTTATGTTCAAAGGAACATAACTGAGGGCAAATCCACATCAGAATGCTACACCTACATACATTCAACCATACATGTTTGTATCAACTAAAAAAATTATGTACCAGCATTCGGGTACATCCAACAAAACTTACAGGAGTTAGTCACAAGTTGTGTACAGGACATTGATTTTTTGTGCACCAGTTGTTTTAACTTGTGATGCAAGTAATTTTTGGGGTTTTCACATCAAAACATGAACTTCTGCTTATATCAGTTTGTTACTCCTTGAAAACAGCTTGAGAGAGTTCCACCAAACTTACACAGAGGTATTACTATGAAAACTTCGCTTTTAAGTCCTACCTGTAAGGATGTAAACATTATTTAAGAGTATCAATAGACAACTTTCTGTGTGCAAGAGTATCAATAGACAACTTTCTGTGTGCAAGAGTATCAATAGACAACTTTCTGTGTGCAAGAGTATCAATAGACAACTTTCTGTGTGCAAGAGTATCAATAGACAACTTTCTAGTTCGATGTATTTCCGTCAAAAACTCTGGTTTTAGTGAACATCATTCGTGCGTTTAGGGGCATCGTCACTTCCGTTCCAATGTTGAGCAAGTGGTTGGAAAACTATAATGCTATATTGCACCAATTATTTGGCAAATTAAATTCTCATAATTGACAATCAGCACTATTGTCATTAGGGAATTGTGATTAAGTACTTACAAAACAAACATTATTTCTAGTTTATCCTGCACAATGACGATCACTAAGACGCTTGATGAACGTTAATAGTGCAGGGATACAGGCGATCCCCTCTATCTGGTAAATGACGTCATAAAGGCGCGCATAATTGACGAGTTTTTTCCGGTGAAGGATGAACTCGAAAGTGGTCTATTATAACAATATATATTCGGTCTATTCTTCATAACACACTTCAGCATTATCTAACATGAAAAATGAAAACAAATATGTTTGTGTATCCCAATCTCCTTAAACTCTGAATGAATATAATTTTTGTGGTGTATTTCCACCACTGTTCATCCACTAACAGCTTACTCTTACATGTAATAAAACAGACATTTAACTGTTAAATGGTACAGTTGACTCTTACATGTAATAAAACAGACATTTAACTGTTAAATGGTACAGCTGACTCTTACATGTAATAAAACAGACATTTAACTGTTAAATGGTACAGCTGACTCTTACATGTAATAAAACAGACATTTATCTGTTAAGTGTATTATGTTTTGATTTTAATGTCTCGATATTGATTATAAGAAAAAATTTATGCAAAATTTATTTTTAACAAAAATTCACATACAAAGTTCACAATAAATTAATAAACATGAAACAAATATATAAAAATACAGAGAATAAGTGCAACCTTCCCTTTGCTAAAACATACAATAAAGACAGCTATATATTAGTTTTCTGAATAAATTCTATTAAAGCAACGACCTAGCACTTACTATGCAAAAATTTAGTCTAAAGGCAATTGTTTCCCACTTCAGTAATATTATCAACTACGACTTGATAGTGTACAACCTTGTCATATAAAAAACCAATCCGACTGAAATATAGATCATTTGACCATGCTTTTTCTTACAAAGATCTTACAATGCATTGTTTTATTCTTTTTTTATAATTATTACAATGTAATGAACTTTCTTCTTTCAAATTTGTAAAGGTATTTATAATTATGACAAAACCCTTAGGATCCCGAAAATGAAACACCATGGTCAGACACTTTTAAGCAATACCTGCATACAGAATTGTTTAAAAGAAGGCTGATTTTACAAAGAAAGGATATAAATATGAACACTTATAAAAAAGCCAGACTGCTTAAATTTTGTATTCTTCTGGCTTTCTATGGAAAAGATGAATATGAAAACATACAAAAACTGTATACAATATTGAAGGTATGTAGTTGATATTGCACTTGAAATAATCTTGAGACTTTCTTTGAAAATTTATAAGCCAGAGTCCTGAACCCTTGAAAAAAGATATTTGTCTTATGTTTTTGTGTGTTAAAAATCATAGAACAAAGTAAAAAGGATAACACTGCATGATTTTTGTTACATTACATTACAGCTGTAAAGCAACTTTGTCATATTGCAGTGGAAAATCTAGTGCCAAAAAATAATGTCCCCTGCAAACACTGAGAAAAGCATCCTTCAATGTTTGGTATGTTCTCCATGAGGATTCAACTGATTATAAGTAAAAAAAAAAAAAGTTCTGGTAAATATAATCAATGAAATTGTTTTAAATAAAAATAGATTTACCACATATTATTATTTCCTTCTAGGTAAAGCAAGCGATGAGAACATCAGGCCACCCTGAAAAATTTCTTTGTTTGTTGTTGCCTATCCCTGCCATATAGGGTTGGGAAGGTAGGTAGGGATTTGTTTTTTTTGGCCAACAAAATAAGTTATATGTTTTATACAAGAAAACAACGTCAGAGCAGTAAAAAATCTTTTAAAAAAATTAGAAAAGATTTGTGTCAAAAAATTTTTTTGGGTATTAAGCTGCTTTTTAGGTGGGTAGGTAGGCAACATCAAACAATTTAAATTTTATGTTTGGCTCCACAGAGGTTCAGGAAAAAATATCAATAAAATCAATTGACAAGAAGCAGAGATCAACACTTTTGAATTTAAATCACTGGGCAAATTCAAATGGACCTTATTCCGATATAAACACTTAATGTGAATAAAATGAGAAGACCACACATATATGCACAAAAATTGAAATGACCTATTCTTAAAACGGTCTAAACAAAATAGTAAAATCTTAAGCACATAATAGTTTTTGTAAAAAAAATTCCTTTAAATTTCTAATCCTTAACAGACATAACTTTTTCTAAATCATTATATTCACTTTATATTGAAAGTTTCCGTAACAATGAACAGATCGACGTGTTTGAAAATAGGCAGATTTCTGGAAATTTTATCATGCTTAGGACTAAGTGGACCACTCTGAAAATTGGTGCATGGAAAGAGCTTAAGATTTTGTATGTAACATGATTTTTTTTCCATTTTGTTTTTTTATTAATATGCAGCAAAGATTAAATGTTTAAAGATATCAGAATAACAAGCTTGTAATGCAGTCCTCTCAATTTATAATGTAAAACAAGACTATAACCATTTGCATGTATATTGCAAATATCATTGTTTACTAATATTTTTTTTTTAAATGTACAATTGTGCTTTAGAAATAAATTTTTATAAGTATGGTTATCCATGTAAACAAACAATTAATTTTGTTATGTTTATCACAAGAAGAGTTACTGTTCCCACTTCACCAGTTTACACACTAATTATATAAGTTATAGATAAATATGACTAGTGTGTTAGCAGAGTAAAGCAGTAAATCCTAAATCAATATAAAGTGCAAAAAACCTAAAAACACTAATAAAAAAACCTATAAATGAATAAGTTCAAATTTCTATTTTTATGGAAAAATGAACAACTATATTATATAGGAAAGTTTGAATGGTTGAACAAAGATGGGCCCATCACTGTAAGATTGATACATGTTAACCATATGTAAACAATAGTATAAATAGAAGGAACTTATGTTAAATATTTTTATATTTATTGGAAAATTGGAAATTTACATCTTTAATATAGATGACTTCTATTATACTGTGGCAAGAAAAAAATAAAATAAATAAAGCATATGAAACTTTATAACACTGGAATAACACAACATAAAATATGACACAAATCATGTGCTATAACTATTAAATATGTCTGGTCCCATTACACATATCATTTAATGTCTATTATCATGAAGACATACAAAACATTTCCACAACATTATGAAAAGGCACATCAGTGAAAAACGAAAGAAAAACATTACAACCTTTGCAGGACCATTATAAATTAACTGAGTCAAAGAACATATACAAAGGGTTGGTCAAAATGATTTAACTGTATCACTTATATGAGTGTCTAACCTATTTATAAGGTTCAAAGTGATAACCAGATGAAAATTCCTTTTCAACCTAGTACTCATCTTCGCTAGCCAAGGGTAACGATCCAGTCCCTTCCTCTCCACCCTTGGGGGGATTAAGATAGAATTTTGGATCCACGAGGTAATGATTTTCATTAGTCGCAGTTGTTCCTGCTTCATGAAATTTGTATACACTTTACACAACCATATTTACACCTCCACATTGTAGAGAGTTCAAGTGCTGCCATTGGTCAATAATGATGCAGTTGGCATGGGCATTACTCTTGTCTACCGGTAGATGGTGCAGCATTGTAATCACAAATGTTGGCTTAATCAACCAAGGGTGTAGAGGAGGGGACTGGATCTTAACCCTTGGCTAGCGAAGATGCCTAGTACTTTCATGTTATAAATAGAAAAGCTCTGCCAAAAATCTATTGCAATAAAGTAAAACCTGGATTAAATATTGTTCTGTAGTTTAAATAGATTTGTACATCAACAAATAAATAAGCTGCTAAAAATGACCAAAGTAAACTTCTTGTTAGCCAGCTATCAGACATACAAAATGGGATATCTTATTTAGATGTTAACCACATGGAAATATTCAATATTATTAATTACAAAGATCAGTACACAGGTTTTAGACATCTTAACCAAAAAATTTACATTTATGACTCACTGGCATAAACATTTCTACCAATTGTTAAATTGTCTCCATGAAATTGCACGCCATTGATATATTCGACATTCCAAAAGTGACTCAAATGTGTCTATGTATACCTTTATATAGGAAGAGACCTCCCTGTGGCAAAGTACTAATCTACAAGTGAGGAGACGGTACAACAATGGTGTATACTATAGTCATAATAATACTTTCCAATCAACTGAACACATTTTGAAGTATTATATAAAGTATAATGACATTTGTGGGTTGATCTCCCAATAAAACAGATTTGATCACATGACAAATTACAGATTTGTAGAAATAAAGATGGTGGATGAATCAGATCTAATAAATCTAGGACCTAAAGTCTCATCAATGTTTTCCACACACCCATTTAAGTTGTGGATCTTTTAGTTGTGTCAAATCCTTTATAGATCTGAATGAACACTGACAACAATAAGCTCTGTATCCTGCAAATAGATGAAATCAACCATAAAAACTCATTGTAAAATATCAGTTGGTTTAAAATTAAATATTGAATTTGCTTGTACTTGTACAGAAATTAAATTAAGTTTTAAAAGGTTATATTTCAGAAAAATTATGTCCAATGCCTTTCGGCTAAGGAACTAGAGCTAAATGAACAGCAACAGGAAACTAATTTATATTGAAGCATCTATCAATCTTTAGTTTCATCTTTTAGTCATTACACATCTAGATCTGATGTGCCATTTTCCATTATAAAAGGAAATATCTGCAAAAACTTCCCAAGACATCTTATATCATTTGACTATGGCTATGTATTGTCCTTATTTGAGGTCATACTGCAACTTGTTGTTCATTCATGACAGAGTTTATTATGCGGTTTGGTATCACTGACATCCCCCCCTTTCAATTCTTATTTATTTCAAATTTAACAAATGTCATTTGATTGTTTGTCATTGGGTTGCTGTCATTCCTTTTATTCATATTTCAAAGCAATAGTATTTCAGTGTATTTCTTCATCTGATTAAAATACAGATCATGTTTTCAAGCTTTGATAACATGAATCTGACGATGCTCTATTCTTCTATCCATTCTGATAATCATTATGTCAACCAATGAAATTTCTGCCTCCAAATATTTGAAGGTGTGTATCATTATGACAATACCTTAGGATCCCAAAACATTATCCAAAACAGAAAGTAGAATGGAGCATTGTCAGATCCTTGTAAGCAAAGAATGGAGCATTGTCAGATCATTGTAAGCGAAGAATGGAGCATTGTCAGATCCTTGTAAGTGAAGCATGGAGCATTATCAGATCCTTGTAAGCAAAGAATGGAGCATTGTCAGATCCTTGTAAGCAAAGAATGGAGCATTGTCAGATCCTTGTAAACAAAGAATGGAGCATTGTCAGATCCTTGTATTAAAGCGAAGAATGGAGCATTGTCAGATCCTTGTAAGCGAAGAATGGAGCATTGTCAGATCCTTGTAAGCGAAGAATGGAGCATTGTCAGATCCTTGTAAGTGAAGCATGGAGCATTGTCAGATCCTTGTAAGCAAAGAATGGAGCATTGTCAGATCCTTGTAAGCGAAGAATGGAGCATTGTCAGATCCTTGTAAGCGAAGAATGGAGCATTGTCAGATCCTTGTAAGTGAAGCATGGAGCATTGTTAGATCCTTGTAAGTGAAGCATGGAGCATTGTCAGATCCTTGTAAGCGAAGAATGGCGCATTGTCAGATCCTTGTAAGCGAAGCATGGACATAGGATCTGTATTTTAATCTGATTATGTCTTCACTAACCTTTTCTAGAATTTAAATTTGACTTTAGTTTTTGGAAATCTGGAGCATGATTCCTCAGAAATAAATAGTCTGTATCTGTGGTCCACTCAAAGTTATCAAAACTGACAACTTTAAAATCACATGATGTACATCTCAGTTTATCACAGGTTCTATAATTGTAAATCATATAAGGTTCTATAATTGTAAATCACATAAGGTTCTATAATTGTAAATCATATAAGGTTCTATAATTGTAAATCAGATAAGGTTCTATAATGTAATCACATAAGGTTCTATAATTGTTAAAAGAATGATTGATAGTTGTTTGCTAAATCATAATTGTTAAAAGACAAATTTCTATAAAACAGATTGTATGCAAAGGAAATAAATCACCTAAACAAAAAATAAATAAAGTTATATTTATGTGTTGAAAGGTCTACTAGACATAGTTTCAAAACAATAGTGTTGGTAAAGTCAGATATTTCTGGGGTTATACTTTGTAGAGATTCTGATGTTTTCAGGTGTGAATGGTATTGTGAAAAATTTCAGCAGAAAGTATCTCAATAATATTACAGACGAGTCAGAAAATTTGTTCTTTTTAAAAGTTATATCTTAGTATTTGCATAAAGAGGCTGATGACCCCAACACTGGTTCCACGACAAAATGTTGCAGGCTTGTCGAAAATGGTTTTTCCAAATTCATTTTTGCATGTTTATTAACTCAAAACAATTTAGTAAATTGGGTAATACTGAATTATCTCCCCTTATTGGTTAATCTACAATTCTTTTCCATCTAATGTTATAACAACAACAACAACAATTTTTATTTGTCAATCAAGATGAGGGGCAAACCAATAACAGTTTAAATTAAAGTGGACAAATAATTGTGATGATTTTTTTATTGAAAAATTACAATAAAACTTATCACTATATATATGAAAAGGGAGACAACAAACACAGTATATTCCCAAAGATAACGAGTGAGTGAAAACAATCAGTACCTTTGAATTATTCAAAGAAGAGCTGGCTAGGCCACTCATGTCTTATTACTTAATTTTGCTCTTCTAGTCTTTATTAAATTATATATCAGTTTTATCATTATATTATTAATTATTGGATCTTCGTTTGACATTAACCATATAAATTTTGATTGGTCATTTAAAAATTTAAAATTAGTAAAGTAAGTTGATAAATCTTAAATGAAACTGGACTTTTAAGTTCTAAGTGTCATTTAAGAAGGAAATGAATTTCATCCTCCACAATGTCATTGTTACATTACCCGTATTTACAAAATCTTTTGTCTGGGGTATTCCTTTTTTTGTCTTCCCTTTTCTTTTTCAAGTTCATAGGCACTGATTCTAAATTTGGTTAACTCATGTGATTATGAATTGTAATTTTCCACAAAGATACATATATTTTAAACTTAATTCAATTGATTTTTGCTCTTTATCTTAACAATTTTTCCACTACCTATATCTTAGGCAGTATTGTAGTTCAAATGAGGAAAGGGATACCTGGCTTTGATCCCAGTTGTTTGTTTAAATTATTAAAATGAGGTTGTGAGTTCAAACCCCACATTTGGCAGGTGCATTTGTCTCCAATCTTTTAAATTGACTAGCATTGCCAGTCTTCAAGCCAAAGGTCAGTGGTTCTCTCTTGGCACTCTGGCTTCTTTCACCAATAAATAAATTGCTTCGCTGAGCGCAGCTGGATACGACCGCAGATGTCCAACCCTGAAAAGTTGGGCCAAAATGGACACAATATTCACGCTTGATACAGGTCTGAATTTGGATTGTAACTAAATTTTTGACACATTATAGGTTTCTGACACAGAATAACTGTAGTCAAAGAACTTCAAATTGGTTATATGATTTGAATTTATATTCAATTTATTGCTTTTGTGCAATACACTATGCTGTTGCGAATTGACCCCCCCCCCCCCCTTACCAAAAAAAATTTATTTTACCCCGGTTTTTTGCTTTTGTGCAATACACTATGCTGTTGAAAATTAACCCCCCAAAAAAAATATTTGAAGAAATTTTCTTTTAATTTCTGAAATCTGAAATGAGAAAAATTGTCCCCCCCTCCAATTTTTTTCACCTCCCCCCTTTCCCTTATTCCCCAAAAAAATTCTTTCCCTCAAGATATGGTCAGTATCTCAATTCAAATTTCTAATGCAGTTTGCAACCAAAATTACCCATTTAAATACATCATAAAAGTTTTAAAATATAAAATTCGTAAGGGTTCCGCGGAACCCAGTGTCTCGCCTACTTTTTCTGTTAATCGCAGGCTCAACAAAAATGAGGAAGTAAATCAATAAAAATATTCCTCTTGATACTATCTTTTGATTGTAAGAAGCTTCTGTCCAAGTTTTGTAAAAATCCAGGATAGTTTATGAATCTAATAAATGTTTAAAAACTTTTAACTGCAGACTGAATGTAATGTTAACTGGAAGAAAACAAAATTTCCTTCTAGATACTAGCATTTGATCATAAACAAGCTTCTGTCCAAGTTTGGTACAAATCCAAAATAGTATAAGAAAGTTATTGAAATTTCAAAAACTTTAACCACAGAGTGAATGTATTGTTTCCTGGCAGAAAATCTAAGTCCATTTAAAAGTAAAATACGGAAAAAATGGATTTATTTTTTTACAAAATTTCCTTCTAGACTCTAGCTTTTGATCATAAACAAGCTTCTGTCCAAGTTTGGTACAAATCCAAAATAGTATAAGAAAGTTATTAAAATTTTAAAAACTTTAACCACAGAGTGAATGTGTTGTTTCCTGGCAGAAAATCTAAGTCCATTAAAAAGTAAAATAAGGAAAAAATGGAATTTTATTTTTACAAAATTTACTTCTGGATACTATCTTGTGATCATAAACAAGCTTCTGTCCAAGTTTGGTACAAACCCAGGATAGTTTAAGAAAGTTATTAAAATTTTAAAAACTTTAACCACAGAGTGAATGTAATATTTCCCGGTAGAAAAACTAAGTCCATTTATAAGCAAAATACGGAAAAAATGGAATTTTATTTTTACAAAATTTACTGCAGGATACTATCTTATGATCATAAACAAGCTTCTGTCCAAGTTTGGTAGAAATCAAGGACAGTTTAAGAAAGTTATTAAAATTTCAAAAACTTTAACCACAGAGTGAATATTTGTGGACCCCGCTGACGACGACGACGACGCCGACGGAATGTAGGATCGCTATGTCTCGCTTTTTCGACTAAAGTCGAAGGCTCGACAAAAATGACATACATAGTCATGGCTAAAATTAATATTAATTAATAGTAACTTCTAAAAATAAATTGACAGCTACTCACCTCAAGACAATCACCATTTCTTAATGTAATCAAACGGTGTTCTTTAATTTGAATTGGATTACCACCCTTACACTGCTTTTAAATTGTCTCAATTGTCCTTTAACCAGAAAACCCTTGTTTTTCCCCTTTTTTTTTTTTGCCCCTTATTACTAAATGGTTTGAGCCATAACCCCCCAAAGTCAATCCTAACCATCCCTTTGTTGTATGGAAGTTTGTGGTATAATTTCAGAGAGATTCATACACTTTAACACAAGTTATTGTCTGGAAACTACAAAAATGCTTATTTGGGCCCCTTTTTTGGCCCCTAATTCCTAAACAATTGGGACCATAACCCCCAAAATCAATCCCAACCTTCCTTTAGTGGTTATAAACCTTGTGTTAAAATTTTATTGATTTCTATTTACTTATACTAAAGTTATTATCCGGAAACCATCTGTCTTCGGACGACGACGACAACGTGATACCAATATACGACCAAAAATTTTTTAATTTTTGCGGTCGTATAAAAATTACTGCCAAGAAATAGCCAATTGTCCTGAAAGAGGTGTTAAACACAAAATAATCAATCAATCAGTCTTGTATTTAAAATAAGGAAAGGGATATCTGGCTATGATCCCAGTTTTGCTTTTTTTAATTAATGATATGAAGCAATTTACTTGTCTAACAATCTGATTTTCACTGATTTATAATTATGGATGTTATAGCGATATACTGAACTTACTTTTGACTCATGGATGTTCCCATACCACAAGAACAGTTGGCGCCACCAACATATATTGGAAAGCATCTGAAAAATATATGAAGTATATGTTAATGGCATACAAAAAAAGAGTATACTGTCAATGTAAAGAATTTGACTACCGGTACATCTGATAAATATGTGAAGTCACTGATGCTAATATGACCTTGCTTACCTCTGTAATTATGACATAATCTCAAAACCATTCACACAATCATTTCTGCATTATACAAATTAGTTATCAGTCAGGTCAGTTGATCCTAGAAAGCTGTGGTTGTTCAAATTTAAATAAGTTCTAAAATACACAGTTGTGTATTTTACTTCTGTTGTTTACCGTTTTGGCATCAAAAAAGTTTTAAAATATGTGGAAAAAGGTGAATAATCATCATTTTCAGACAAATTAAAATTCATCAAGCCTCCAAAAGTATTTCATTTGAGCATGATGCTTGTTTTGTGTTGTATGGATTATAACTTTTAGAAACAATCTGTTCGTTCACAAATATACTTGCCATAGCTCCAGAATAAGCATCCTAAATTTAAGAAAAATTGTGCTACAATTTAATGGGAACAAGGCAAAAAAGCATGTTTTTTATACTGTGGATTCATTTATTTTCGTGGGTAACAATTTTCGTGGTTTAAGGAAAACTTACATGTTCGTGGATATTTATTTTCGTGGTTTTGCCAAAGTCTGCATACAAGATTATAGAAACTTGCTATTTGTTGAACATTTAATTTCGTTGTTCACCTGTACCCACGAAATCCACGAAAATTTGTATCCAACGAATAATAATGAATCCACAGTATATGAATTTGACATAATTTTACTGTTATCAAAGATACACACAGTACAAAAATACAACTACTGGTAGAAATGCCTGGAAAAATAGGAATGCCCTGTCTGCTAAAAATATCCAAGAACCACAATTCTGTGAAAAGTACTGGTACGTCATCCAAAACAAAACACAATAAATAATCCCCTTTTAAAAAATGCTGTTTTAACACTGATAAGCTATTAAAGTCTGTCAAGTTCCCTAAAGCATTACCTTTTTATGTTACATAGGACAAGGGATATTATACTCACTTTCTAGCTGTCTCTGTTCTGGCGTCATACCCATTTGATTTAATTGGTTTAACGTCAGGCTGTAATATAAAAAAAGTATAAATTGCATCTGCCACTTTTAACATTTAAACTCAGCTGTTTTTACAGTTAAGCAAATCATGGTAATATGCTCTTCTGAACAACACATTATGACTGCAGTGAACATTTTAAACTAACAGAATTCTGTTATTTTCCCGTTGTATTGTATTCAGCATAAACAGTACTAATAGTTGTTGCATTGGCAATCATACCGCATCTTCTTATCTTTATATGTGCACCAAGTCTGTTGGGACAAGTTTTTTACCATCCTGTTAAAGAAACCTAGACTAAATATTCCCTTTAGCCCTTGAAATATTGTATTTATATTTTTCTATTGTTCAAGATTGTGTAGTCCTGGTTGACATGTGGTACAGATTCTTGTCTAATGTTTGAGAGTGTGTGTTGTCCTGCTTGACATGTGGTACAGATACTTGTCTATTGTTTAAAACTGTGTGTTGTCCTGCTTGACATGTGGTACAGATACTTGTCTATTGTTTAAAACTGTGTGTTGTCCTGCTTGACATGTGGTACAGATTCTTGTCTATTGTTTAAAACTGTGTGTTGTCCTGCTTGACATGTTGTACAGATACTTGTATATTGTTTGAGACTGTGTGTTGTCCTGCTTGACATGTGGTACAGATAGTTGTCTATTGTTTTAAACTGTGTGTTGTCCTGTGGTACAGATTCTTGTCTATTGTTTAAAACTGTGTGTTGTCCTGCTTGACATGTGGTACAGATACATGTCTATTGTTTAAAACTGTGTGTTGTCCTCCTTGACATGTGGTACAGATACTTGTCTATTGTTTAAGACTGTGTGTTGTCCTGCTTGACATGTGGTACAGATACTTGTCTATTGTTTAAAACTGTGTGTTGTCCTGCTTGACATGAGGTACATATACTTGTATATTGTTTGAGACTGTGTGTTGTCCTGCTTGACATGTGGTAGATACTTGTCTATTGTTTAAAACTGTGTGTTGTCCTGTGGTACAGATTCTTGTCTATTGTTTAAAACTGTGTGTTGTCCTGCTTGACATGTGGTACAGATACATGTCTATTGTTTAAAACTGTGTGTTGTCCTCCTTGACATGTGGTACAGATACTTGTCTATTGTTTGAGACTGTGTGTTGTCCTGCTTGACATGTTATACAGATTCTTGTCTATTGTTTAAGACTGTGTGTTATCCTGCTTGACATGTGGTACAGATACTTGTCTATTGTTTAAGACTGTGTGTTGTCCTGCTTGACATGTGGTACAGATACTTGTCTATTGTTTTAAACTGTGTGTTGTCCTGTGGTACAGATTCTTGTCTATTGTTTAAGACTGTGTGTTGTCCTCCTTGACATGTGGTACAGATACTTGTCTATTGTTTGAGACTGTGTGTTGTCCTGCTTGACATGTGGTACAGATACTTGTCTATTGTTTAAGACTGTGTGTTGTCCTGCTTGACATGTGGTACAGATACTTGTCTATTGTATAAGACTATGTGGTACCCTCTTAAATGTCTTTCTGGTTTTATTGTGTTTGAGTGTTTCATTCTCATTAACTCATATCTCATTTGTTTAATCATACTTGGTTATGTTCATGACTGAGAATAAGTTTTAGACTGAAAATAATTTTTTTATGAAAGTGTGAAGCTTTGTATAGATGTGATGAGTAAAGCCCTTTTCAACCGATTTTAAAATTTTATTCTTATGTTGTACTTTTACACCACTGTCCTAGGTTAGGGACAGGGTTTGACACCAGGAAACATGTTAAACGCCACCACATTCTGTGTGTGCCTGTCCCACATCAGGAGCTAGTAGTTCAGTGGCTGTCATTTGTTGCTGTATATCATATTTGTTTTGTGCATAAATCAGGCATTTAGCATTCTTGTTTGAATTGTATTACATTTGTTATTTCTGGTCTTTTATAGCTTACTATGCAGTATGAGTTTTGCTCATTGTTAAAGGCCGTACAGTGACCTATATTTGTTAACAGTAAACTTCTTCTTCATTTGGTCTCTTATAAAGAGTTGTCTCATTACCAATCATACCATATCTTCTTATTTTTATATGAACAATACTTGAAAAAATTTGTAAGGGGTTCCGCGGAACCCAGTGTCTCGCCTACGATTGCTGCTGTCAGTGTAAAAGTGTAATATTGACTTTAAAAAAGTCCATTTATCAGTAAAATACAGAAATTTAAAAAAAAAAAATTAAAATTTTCTTTAGATGCTTCTTCTTGGTATTTAAGATTAGCTTCTGTCCAAGTTTCATAACAATCGATGAAGGTAAAACATATTTATCATGTCAAAAAAATTTAATCCAAGACTGTCTGATAATGTTAACAGTAAATAAAGAGCTGCGCCATGAGTGCATGATACGCCCGTTGCTCTTTTTGAAAAAATAGTTCCATAACTACTCAATGTCATATCAGAAATTTATAAAAAACTAAAGGGGATTATTTTAATAGATTTAAACCAGTCATCATTGCTCAAAGCACTTTTGATTTATTGTCCAAAAACTGGAAAATCCCCCTTTTTTAATGAATAAAACCCCATAACTAGAAAACATAAAATCTAAAATTTATAAAAATCGAAAGGGAGCTCACATCAATGAATATATACAATTCACCAAAGATTCATGAAAACTGATCAAAGCATTTTTGAGTTATTGTCCGAAAACTGGAATATCCCCCTTTTTTAATGAATATAACCCCATAACTTGGAAATGTAAAATGTAAAATTTATAAAAATCGAAAGGGAGCTCACATCAATAGATATAAACAATTCACCAAAGTTTCATGCAATCAAAAATGAAAATAAATATTTCCAACATTTTGCTCTGAATACTATATTTTGGTCATAAACAAGTTCCTGTCCAAATTTCATAAATTTCAATGAAGCTTTGACAAAGTTATTGATGGCTGAAAAACTTTAACCTCAGACTGAGCCTGAGTGTTAACTGTAAAAAAGTCCATTTATCAGTAAAAAACGGAAAAATGGAAATAAATATTTGCTAAATTTTGCTCTGGATACTGTCCTTTGGTCATAAACAAGCTTCTGTCTACAATGGTCTAAATTATCTACAATTCCATGAAAGTTTGACAAAGTTATTGATGACTGAAAAACTTTAACCTCAGACAAAATCTGAAGTTTACTGTAAAAAAAATTAAGTCCATTTATTAGTAAAATACGGAAAAATGAAAATAAATATTTTCAAAATTTTGCCCTGGATACTGTCTTTTGGTCATAAACAAGCTTCTGTCCCAATTTCATAAAATTCAGTGTAGGTTTGACAAAGTTATTGATGTCCAAAAAAACTTTAACCACAGACTGAACCTAAATGTTGACGCCACTGCCGACGACGGAATCTAGGATCGCTATGTCTCGCTTTCGCCAAATAAATTTCACAGGTTCGACAATAAAATAATGCATCCTTGTTATATATACACTATCCAACAAAACCTTTTTACATGTTAATGTCTATTTTTTGTTTCACATTATGTTGCATGTGACCCTGCACTAAGCTCATGAAGGTGGAAGCAATCAGATATCAAGTCAAACTACATATCAATATGATTAACTTAAGCTACATGTACAAACCAGGGGTTCTACTTTCAAATCATCTAATATCTGGTCTAAATCATCTTCACTTGCTTTTCGCCTGAAATTCATAAGAAAAAGCAATCAAATGTTAAATTTCTAGTTAAAACAAGCATCTTGTCAGCATGGTCAGCAGTTGTCATTGCCTCTTCATAATTTTTTTCTAGCAAGAAATCAATGTTTCTGTTAATAGTTATTTGATTATCACCATTGATTTTATTCTCCACTTGTCTAGACACTGTATTCACCCTCAGACACTGGCCATACAGCCCAGTCAGGACTACACGTTTAGTGGTTGTAATATGTAACCCTCTCTTTGACTAAAGTCAACAGCTATATTGATCATGGTTTGAATTTCTAGTGGATTATTGGATATTAGAGCAACATCATCAGCGCATGTTGGTGCACAGTAGTTTATATTTCCAATTCTGCCTATAAGACCTGACTTACTGAAAATATGTAAAGGAGGGTTAATACAGATTTTGTATTGGTCAGTACTGATAGCTTAGTCTTGGCAAACTCCTTGCTCAATGTTAAATAATTGATTTGAGATATTATTGCTTCATATTCTACATGAAGTTGTGTTTCCATATAAAATGCTGACTTAAATAATATTGACTGTTTTGAGAAACCAATTTGAAATAGACGACTTATTAGATTGGCATAAACCACAATGTCAACTGCAGGTTTACCATCCATAAGTGCCACATTATTTTTATGTTGGTAATTCAAGATCTTTACTTTCCCTTTCAAATTCTTCCATAAATATGTTGCATAACAGGGGTGATGATTTTGCTGTACAACCTTTTTGCAGTTGGTTTACAGTTTTTTATACTTTATAATTTTTTTTCTTTTTCATAATTATCTTTATAATTGTTTAGTATGTAGGTGTTACTGTGATCAAATGTGCGCTTTTATAAACCAATGGTAGAGCTTGCTAACTAAGTGGATCTCTGGCATGTCTGGTATAAAGTATTTAAGGAATGACTAATATTTTTTCTGTCTATGAAGAAATAACATCAAAAAATGTGGTGCACACTGAATAACCTGCGTAGCATGACAAAATTATGTCTATGAGCTGATAAACAAAACAACGTCAGCCAATCAGAAGACACGTTACATCCAAAATTAAATTATATATATTTAGAATAAAAAGTTTTCAACGCTTGAAAAATATTTCTCATCTGAAGAAGAATTTACTTATTTGGGAACTTTATTCTCCATTTTATAGGTTGAATACATTTTGGTTACAGTTGGGACCAATATATGAGAGTCCCAGGTAACACTAAACTGTTTAATGGGTATAAGATCATTTCAAATACAAATATAACACAATAATGGTCTGTGAGAATCCAGAAGTTCTAAAAAAAAAACTTATGTTGTTAAATAATCAGTCTCTGGACTGAAAGAGACTCACTGAAAAACTTTGAGTGCAAATTAATGTTAGACAGTTAGTGTACTGACCTGGGGCCAGTTTCACGAAGCTGTCTTAGGACTAAGACATGTCTTAGGATGGTCTTACGACATATCTTAGTCCTAAATGGGTTTCACAAAGTGGTCCTAAATTAGGACACCTCTTAAAGTTGGTCATAAAGTTAGGACTACACGAGAGGTGTCTTATGATGGTCTTAGGATAGTCATAAGTTTATTTATACAAATTACACTAATTTTTTATATTAATTTTGTAAATTATCTTATTATTATCTAATTATCCATTCTCCTTTTCCGGCTCACAACTAAATCTTTTTTGGTTGACGGATTGTCATGATTTGTCAACAATAAACATTCGATGTATTTGTATCAAGAATGCACGATTTTATCCTTTAACCCTATTATAACCGATACAGTGACAAATTGAATTCAACTCACTTATACAAAAAAAAAAATTATAATTTTATTCCTTTTTCTCGATTTTGTATTTAAAGTTCATATGTATATTAGTATATTATCAATAGATTATTTATATAAATTACACTTATTTTTTATATTGATTTTGCAAACTATCTAATTATCAATACACTTAGTAATTTATGGGAAATACATACTACATTTACATGAATTTTTCCATAAATCAATGTTAATATTTAAAAATTTAAAGAACTTGCGACAGGTTTATGATATCTTTGCTAAGATCATCCTAAGACAGCTTCGAGGCGAGGTCTGAGATATGTCCTAGGATAGTCATAAGAGGATCATAAGACATGTCCTAAGATATATCTTATGACAGGTCTTAGGATAGCTTCGTGAAACCGGCCCCTGGTGAATAATTCCTAGGCCAATGAAATAAGGTATGATACATGGGGATTTTTGGAATCCCTGACATCTCAGCCTATAACAAACTCGGCTTATAACATAATCGGCCTCACAAAATCGGACTATAACAAACTCGGACTACTAGAAGAATATAAGTATGATGTTGGATGTTGTTTTCTTTATTTAAGGAATGACTGTAATATTTTTTCTGTCTATGAAGAAATAACATCAAAAATGTGGTGCACACTGAATAACCTGCGTAGCGGGTTATTTTAAAGTGTGCACCACATTTTTTATGTTATTTCGAATAGACAGAAAAATATTACAGTCATTTCTTATAATTTAATTCTTAATTCCATTTTAAACCGCAGTAAATCATGAAAAAACGTTGATGACATCAAGGTCACATGACAAAATTATGTCTATGTGCTGATAAACAAAACAACGTCAGCCAATCGGAAGCCGCGTTACATCCAAAATTAAAATTATTGGAAATTAATTATCAATACTTAATTTGTAATTAATTAATTATGATTTACAATTAATTAAATAATCATTTTGAACATTTTAGAAGCGACTAATATAAATTACGTTAACAAGATATGTATAAAAAGAAAAGAATAAGTTCATTTAATAATGAAAATCTACCACTTATCTGTCTTTTCTGTATTATTATTTGTATGTCCCTCTCAAAATAATTTATCATATGCATATCTTATATGATTGAACTGGGAATATGACATCATGCCACGTGTATCGTTGACAACTTTTTAATCACCTGGATTTAAAATAACAACTGGCACATGTACTGTTGACACCTATTTAATCACCCAAAGTGAGAACAAAACTACCTGTAATTACATGAAATTGTAATTAACTAAATATTACAATTTCTTCGTGGTAGCAGCTTGTGTATAACCATAGATATCTATGGTATAATTGACGTGTTCATGTTCTTTTTTTTTTTTTAGTTTGATTACAATTCTTATGTAATTATAAGACAGTGTAGTGAATTATATGTTTCTGATCATACTTTTATTGGTTGAATCACAGTGCTTTGTGAGAAAAAGAAATCTCTGTTGTTTTTTCAATTTTACACCACATCTATTTTGAGAAATATGTATAATAAATGTTTGCGTTGGCCATGTTGGCTTGCCTTTCTAAAATCATTGTATCTGTTTGATGTGACAATTTAAATATAGTTACTTTTCCATTAATAAAGAATTACAGATAAGTGAAATTGTAAACAAGCTATTCACTGTCAATCAAATTTCTCTTTGTTTGTATACTAATAATAAACACCAAGGATTAAACACAATACAAACATGGACACACGCCAATCATTAAAACATATTTTGTCAATAAACATAACAAACGAGAAAATCACAATAATATTTCAAATAGAAGTTAAATATCCTCATTCAAAAATATCAAATTCAACTCATATAACACATATTTCAATGATGGATCTAAATTTATTATAATACATTTCTACATATTTTTTTTTCAAAAATATTTATCCTTTTCTCATAAATTCGTATATAATTTTTTATACATGTATATCAAGTTTTTTTTTAAAAGCCAGAAAAAAAAAAACGTAACAACTCTATCTACTAATCGTAGTCCTAGTTTGTTCAATATATTTCTGCATATAAATAGTGGTAGGCCGAGTTTGTTATAATCCGAGTTTGTTATAGTCCGATTTTGTGATAGGCTGATTTTATTTTAGTCCGAGTTATCCAGCAGCAGATTTTTGTCACTATTTTGAACACTGTTATCATGGTTATATATCATGTATATATATATATCTTTTTCAAATTTATTTTGTCATTACTAATCATCAAGAATCAACAATAAAAATTATCATTGTAATAAATTGTTTGTAATTATACCTCTCACTGGAGCATCTTTGATTGACAATAACTAGATTGACTTTTATATTTCATTGTACACACAGCTCTTTTTGTCAATAAACATAACAAACGAGAAAATCACAATAATATTTCAAATAGAAGTTAAATATCCTCATTCAAAAATATCAAATTCAACTCATATAACACATATTTCAATGATGGATCTAAATTTATTATAATACATTTCTACATATTTTTTTTTCAAAAATATTTATCCTTTTCTCATAAATTCGTATATAATTTTTTATACATGTATATCAAGTTTTTTTTTAAAAGCCAGAAAAAAAAAAACGTAACAACTCTATCTACTAATCGTAGTCCTAGTTTGTTCAATATATTTCTGCATATAAATAGTGGTAGGCCGAGTTTGTTATAATCCGAGTTTGTTATAGTCCGATTTTGTGATAGGCTGATTTTATTTTAGTCCGAGTTATCCAGCAGCAGATTTTTGTCACTATTTTGAACACTGTTATCATGGTTATATATCATGTATATATATATATCTTTTTCAAATTTATTTTGTCATTACTAATCATCAAGAATCAACAATAAAAATTATCATTGTAATAAATTGTTTGTAATTATACCTCTCACTGGAGCATCTTTGATTGACAATAACTAGATTGACTTTTATATTTCATTGTACACACAGCTCTTTTTTATTTCTCAAGTTATGACTGATCATGACAACCCATTTTCCTATTAATAAAAGTATTATAAACATGATCCAGATTGCACAATTTATTTTTAAACAATTACTTATTCAAACAAACCTTGATTTTATACTACTTGATGTCTCTTTGCCCTTTCGTCTATCTTTAGGGCAATATTTTGTTTCTACTTCATCCAACAAATCATCTATATCATCAGCCATTTTATATTTTAGAAATTATAAAAGATGAACAAGAAAAATGTGCTGCTTAGCTGTCACTACCAAACATTTTTCTTTTGACTTCCTGTGCTTACTGATTTAAGCCTTCTCTTGTGACTTTTTACCATCAAATAATTGAAAACTTAAGGTAACAGATAATCAGGGTGAACTTGATTTACAAACATACGATTGCTGATTTGGAGTCTACCTGTTGTCGCAACACTTTAAATCCACTTGATTTTTTAAATTATAACATTTTCATGTTCACAAACTGTTAAATACTAATAATTTTTTCAGAAGTACGGCAAACAGGAATTGAATAATTCATTTGATTATACTATTTATTTATGCATGTCATAAATTCGTTTCGTTCATGATTTTGGCATATTTTACAAATGAGTAATGAGCGCATGCGTATTCCACGAAACCAGTCTGGCAGATGTGACTTTTATTTTTCATTGCATATATTTTGTTTAATTCTGCACCGTAAAGTCAAATCGTTATGGCAAAGCAAGTGCTGAGATTAGACCCAGATATTGAACTAAAATTCAAAGGTAAACGATCAACAGTTGACTGTCTTCATAATGAAAATAGCATTGCATGACCCAATAACCTGAACCGGCCGATGTGGCGATGAGTCGATGACACCCTATCCAATGCAACAATTAGTTAAATGTTTTATTAACTTGATACCAATCAAAAGCGTTTAATTTCTTACGCGTAGTCAATATACGAATGATCGTGAAAAATTGTGTGTCCAAGATTTGAACTCAACAAAAATATGCAACTAATTTTGAAGGAACAGCTAAATAAATAATACTAATAGATCAATGCTATCTTCTAAGAATAACAACTGCTTAACCTTATTTTCACTGTTGTGTCCTTTAACTAAATTTCGACAGAATCTGTATGCTTACTGGAATAATTTGTTTCAGACCCTAGTCTTTATACAAAATTGTAAAAACATCCAACTTTTCTATTTCTATTTCTTAAATCTAAATACTGTCAATATCAAAACGGCTGACAAATTAATAACATGAACAAGGGAGAATGATAATCCAGGTGGACTTGCTAATATTATGATACGTTTAGAAAAGACTTGGACGACTCCTTGACTATATTAAATCGCCCACTGGTCCTGCTGGTACAGTAGTGTCAGGTAATTCCGCCTGTCCGGTTAACCTGCCCACTCCCATTTCTTCCGTAATTGTCACTTCCATGAATATTTCGTCTGCTATTTTATTCATAGAAACTGTACTTATCATCATTGCATGTCAAATTTTATAGAAAAATCCTTTATTACTCAAATATCTTGTGATATATATAATACAGTTCCTAAAGCTAACGATTATCATATTATTGCTTACAAAACTCATTTCTGTCTTGAATTTTTTTTTTTTTATTATCTGGAATCTATAAGTGGTCTATTGATAAATAGATCACCTTTTCCTTTCACAATTTTGTGATAAACGGGCCCACCATATATATTTACTGCGCATGGGCCAAGGATCCGGAAATTTTTCCACACAATTTCGGTCATATTGAGATGATTGAAAAGTTGGTGCCCCTTTCCAAATTGTCGATGTCAACATTACTAGATCCATAGCATCAACTAACTTGTATTGCTGTTTCATCGCATTTACTAAGTAAATGTCTTACCATTACCATGAAGAACAGTTAAGGGAAGGCAATAGTTTAAAATTGAAATGATTTTAATGACTCAAAATGGTAAATCTCTCAGACATTGTTTACGTTTCTTTCGATTTGACAAAAGTTAAAACCGGAAGTTTGCGATAAAGTTAAAGTACGAATAATTCCGGATTCATTTCTGGGATTTGTTTTGTTTATCAAATTGACAGGAAATCACCGGCTTTTTTATTTTATTACCTTCAAAAGTGTTTGAATGTAACAGACAATAGTTGCACTCGTTTAATTTAGCATTAAATCAATTTGCATTTTACGATTAAATATTAAATTTGCTGAAGACAATTTCACGCATGCGTATTATATAGTAAATAAAGCACATGAAAAAAATATTTTTTCTCCGTAAATTTAGGTTTAATTTTTAAATCAGATTTGATGATTGTCTTTGCTGAAAAGTAATTAAATAATGAATACACTTGTCAGGGGATTTCAATTTTTGTTAAGATATTATTCTGAGCTTGTGATCACTGTAAGGTGTGAATATTAAAACCACAGGTAAAAAGTGATTAGCGATCATTAGCCAATGTTTCCCGGAGGCATTGATATAGATATTAGGAGGGCCCTCAGGATTATCAAACTACTGGAGTGGCAGTTTTATTACAGGAAAGGGATTATAAACAAAAACAAGTGATCACAACTTACACAAGACAGTGCAAAATGGCGATTAAGAAATCCGATTTCAAACATTTAGTCAATGAAATGACCGAAATTACTTCTTTAAAAAAATAAAATTTGTCCTAAATCCCAATTTCTCGTTTAGGACAAATAGTTTCATCTTAGGACATGACTGGCATATATGATCGTTTCCGGACCCTTGGCATGGGCGGATTTACCGGACAAACACATTTCCGATAAAAACACGGATGACCCACTTGTTTTGTTTGTTGATTTTAAATGTTAAATCTGATATTTTTAGAGGAAATGAGATAAACTTCCCGAAGTTGATTTGTCAGTGAATTAATTTATATTAAATTTGATACAATTTGTATATAATTGAGCAGAAATACATACGATCAAGGCCTTATGTGGGTGGATTAACCAAACTGCATCGTATATTCAGCAGGTGTCGCTCTTCACTCTGGGTGGTTGCTCATGTAATTTAAAATGTCTAGCGTGTAAAAAAATAATTCTTCTCATTTGTACTAAACTAACATGAAATAATAGGCATGATAGGTGGCAACTGTATATAAAATTTATTAAAATGGAACGAATCATGAATAAAATCTCCCAAAAAACTTTGAAGTTATGATCTTAAGATGGGAGCGTTTTATCAAATTTATAAAATTTATCAATCCGGCAGCCAAGTTATGTTCCATTAGAGTCTGCAGAATGACACTTGAATGATAATTAATTGTTATAGATTTAGTTTGTCAGACCAATTACTAGTTATTTTTTGATGAACAAGTGAAGCTGGTTGACACTAGGTTAATCAGCGTAATTGATGTCATTAAACAATTGACTCTTTCTGTGACATAATAACATGAGCAATGTTAGAGAAATGTATGGCAAAAATGCAAGAATGTGAAAGTTGTCATGAAAAAATGTGTTACTCTACATTTGGGGAATCCTGTCGATAAGACAGAATTGGTAAATGAAACGATAGATTTTTTGTATAAAAAGAAGATATCTCATGTCTTGATAATGTTATTAAGATATTTTCATTTTTATAACTTTGAATAGAATTATATTTAACTTGTCCAATTATGCGTATTTTGGCATTTGACTGTCCAACTTATTTTTTCTCTAGTACCAGACTACTGAACCAGTGTTATTAACAATACCGGGATAAACATCAATAATCACCTTATAAGGACAATTTTTGTAGACCGACAAAAAATGATTTAGTGTTTTTTAGCAATAAAATGTTATTTGTATCTTGAAAAACTTTTTAACCCCCTTTTCAAGTTAAACTTGTTCTGTTTCTCACTTGACATGACAATATTTTAAACTGTGAACCGATCTTTAAATACAAGGAGGAAACTTTTCTGGTATGGCCATGAATGTGTGTTTAGATTTTCTATAGACCATTCCTAATTTTGAGCTTAGATCTTTACAATTTTGTGACGACATCTTCACCATAAACTTTTCACCAAGTCAGTTGTCACTGCTAACTTATCTATACTACTAAAATAACGAGGTCCAATTTGTTTGCTGGCATTACGTAAAAAAAAATCAAAGAATTCAACTTTATAGATAACTTACAAAATGTAATATAGGACAATGGTGTTGATTAAAAATTACACCATTCCAGGCCCTTTTGTTTTCCACATAGTTAATATTACCAATAATTAACAAGTTCCGGATCAAATCGGATTCCAATACCAATAGTATATGTCACATGAAGTTTCCGGTTGAAGTAAGAAAACCAGGACGGGGTTCAAACAAAGATTTTGAAAGCAGAGAAAACTGTGCACCTGACAATCAGCATGATTTTATCAGATGACAATATGAATACAAAAATCCAGGCTAAAAATAAGGCATAGGTACTTTAATTCAGTTGGGGACCGGCATTGATGAGGATGTGTTCTAGTTCTATCAAAATATGCAACAGAATTGATCAAAACCATGTTAATCATCACTTTCTTAATCGACAAATATTTCAAAATATCAATACATGATTAATACATTCATTATATTTTCCGATTTATGACAAAAAAATATCCTGACCTACTGACCCTATAATTCTATGGCAAGGGCAAACCCCCCCCCATCACTTCTTTTTGGCAAAGTAAAACTGTCATGACTGTAAAATGCATTAATAAAATATTTAAAAAATAATCTTCTCATAGAAATGTTCAACATTATGAATTACACATGAACACACAATACAAATATATACATAAATGAAGTTTTCATTATCTTTTTTTTCAATCCATTTTGTTATTGTAGGACCATTTACAGATGTTGTAACATCAGAACTAAAGTTGACCAACCCCTCAGACCAGAAAGTATGTTTCAAAGTTAAAACCACAGCACCCAAGAGGTACTGTGTCAGACCAAACAGTGGCATCATAGATCCAAACCAAAGTGTGAATGTATCGGGTAAGATCTGTGTGATGCAAATCATATTAACATTATATTACAGTAGCTGTATTTCTGTACCTTTACAATACATGGGATTTGAATATGAAGTTGACTACACTAAACAATAATAGGATTTTATCAATGTACTCCTGGTCCTAAAAACTACACCGATATTCATTCCAATAAATAATTCTCTGTGAATTAACATGATTAACAGATTTTAACTGTGTTGGAATTTTTGGAATCGCTGGTATATTTGAATAATGAGATTCTTTAATTGTTAAGAAGGGAAATATTTAGATTGCAAATGCCATTAACATATTTGTAATGTGGAACATGTTGTTCATAATAATTTTGGTATATTTCAGTGATGTTGCAACCTTTTGACTATGATCCATTGGAGAAAAATAAACACAAGTTTATGGTTCAGACTATGTTTGCTCCAGATGGTCCAATAGAAAGCCAGGAACAGTTGGTATGTGGGGAATTTTTACTCCTGTCTTATCAGAAATAGAAGGCTAATTATATAAATACCAATACAGTACTAAAATCATTATCAGATTTTTTTCTCCAATCAGATGGGTACTCCAATTTTCTTCAAACTTGATCTTGGAACCACCGAATATCATTTCCTTGAAACAAAACCTTAATGTCTCTTACACTTGATTTATTGATTGATTCTTGGTGTTGAACACCACTTTCATCCATATTGGCTATATCGTGGCTGTCTGTTTATTATTGGTATAGAAAGGTAGAGAGAACCGCCTGCCTTCTGCAGGAAAAACTGACAATCTTAGTCAATTAAGATTGGAGTTGAATGCACCTGCCATGTTCTGGGTTCAAACTACCAACATAAGTGTTGACAGGCTAGTGATGCTGTAGATGGAAAATTTTCTCCACTCATGAATAAAAATACACTGAATATTATATATATTTGTCATGTACTTTAAGAATTAAATTTCTAACTAGCAAGATGGAACACAAGTAAAATATTACAAAATACAACAAATCTACATTGATTGTCACACAAAACTGCTGTTAAAAATGTTAAATGCACTGAGCTTTTTAAACAAAAATAAAAAATCTATTTTATTATTTTCTTTCAGTGGAAAGAAGCCAAACCAGAAATGTTAATGGATTCAAAGTTGAAATGTTTGTTTGAAATTCCTAATGATAATAATCAGGTAATGTAGCGGATCAAGTAACATATATCCAAAAGGCTATAAATATATGGAATATTCACTGACATATGGATAATTCCATGATAAACACACAGAGATCTCCATAGACCAACTTGGCACAGTATTTTTTGCACTGTCTTTTATTCTCTTACATAAACAGTAAACTGAAATGTTTAAATTAAACTGTTTATGTTTAAATAACAAAGGTTTCTTGTAGACATACTGTTTACTGCAAACATTTGGTCATTCAATAAGACCAGGAGGTCTGCAGAACAGTACAGATACACTTTTCTTAAGATAATGTATTGTGTAAAGCTTGTCAGAGTGAATCAGTGAAAAGGTTAATTGCTGGTGATTGTATTGATTACACTCTAATTTATGAACCCGTCACATAATATCTATCAGATATACATAGATTTCAAAATGAATCACCCACAATCACCACCATTTAGTGTAAAGTATAAGAGTGAATTTTACTATGCTTGAAGTTCAAGTTAAGAGAAGACAGTGACAAATGAATGCCTGATGGGCAATCATCAAATTGTGCCCTATCCGAGTCTCCACCTAGAGTATAGCACTACTCTAATGCATGAAAACAATTTAGTAATTTCCAAAGTGCATTTACATCAATTAATGGCTGTTCCAGAAATTATACCCATTGGGGCATGGGAAGCACTTTTTTAAGATCCCAACCACCCATAATATAAAATTTATAATTATTAAAAAATCCTAAGGAAAATGCAACCACCCACAATTAATTATTTTGCTTGCCTCCCATACCCCCACCACAATCAATTATGAAACAGCCCTAAGAACATTAACAAATGAAAATGTAAGTCTTTCATTTATAGTACTATTGTTGAAAGCAGTCACTATATGATAGAAGTACTATTGACTTTGTAATTATTTTTCTATTAAAACCGTTCGTGTCATGAAATAAGGTGATCTACTTTATTGCATTACAGTTATCAATCTTCAGGTAATTACCTTAATAGGCTTTTTTAATTAATCATTCATGAAGTAGATATTTTTCCTAACCTGATTAATTTTAGAAATCAATAAAGAATTACATGAATATTTATATCCATAGTGATATAAATAGATCTCAGAATTCCATAGAGATCTTATTATAGCTTTCTGCCAATAAAACAGAGATATAATTTTTTAAAGATATTATGTCATTTGTTGTAGACGAGGGAAGAAACAGAGAAGGTAAAACCAGTGAAACAAGTACAGTTAGAAACCTCACAAACAGTAAAGGTATTAAGTTGTATAATTTATTCCTCATATTGAATTTAGATAGATACAGTGGTTGAGTTATCTCCCCTTATAAGATAACACATTGAAGACAATTCGGTGCAATTATTCTATCATTCAAAAGGATTTCTAGCAAGGGCCTGCTTAATGAGTTTAGGACTAATTTCATTATTGTTAAAGGGGAGTTATTTATAGACCATATTAATTTGTTATTAAAGTGACATTAAAAATTAAACAAATAAAGGCATGATATATTTATAAGATTATTGAAAAAATTGAAATTTAATCATGTTGTTAAAAAAAAAAGATTATTGAAAATTTACTACCAGGTTGAAGTAGACTAAAGATTAAGGTAAACCACTAATAAAAAGCATAGACACCAACTGGTCTTGTATGAAAATGATAACAGTATTTAACCCTTGTACTTATTTAAAGATGCATCGAGTGAACCAACACCTAACAGTACAAGCTGGTAGAGTAATCAGGATTGATAGCCGGAAGTATGCTGCGGTTGTCTTGAAACCTCAGGAAAATAATGATACACAAAGACAACAACATCCCAGATTACTGCAAGGAAATTCTTTATTCTGGTATACATGTTTCGCCACTTACGGTGGCGTCTTCAGGACCTTGTACTTATTTGTTTAAAACTAGTTATAACTTAAGTACTTTTGTTTTGTTAACAGTTTGTGTTTACTGATTAGTTCCTTTAATTGCTCATCATATACCACATAAAAAAAACATAATATTTTTTACAGTCAAGTCCTGAATCAGAAGGAAGAAAAGGCGATTCAGATAAACAAAGATTACAAGCTGAAATAGAAAAGTTACAGGATGAAAATAAATCATTAAAGGTATTTATAGAGTGATTATTGAAATGAAAACCTAGCGGTCGAGTCTTAGTGTACTGCTACAAGAATGTTTTCCCTTAGTGCATTGCTGAAAGAAAGTTTTCTTAAGGTTCATATCAAGTAACTTTTGTCTTTGGTAGTGTGGAATTCTGTGTACACAATGTTGGAAGTTTCCCCCACTGCATTCATTTAACCGTTCTTTAACTTCCATAGGAGCTGATGGATATGCCAATCTTTCTAGACGTTTTATATCTTGGCCTTATACATGTATTTGTTCTGTCTGTTGGCATATTTCACTTTTCATTTGCGCCCTATACATTTCTACTTGGTTTTTAGGATGAAAACGAGATTCTAAGGCAGCTGTAAGTTGATTAAAATTGACCCGCATTACTGGTCTTAAATCTGAAATTACTTTTGGCATTGCCTCTCAAGCTTGTAGTTAGTTTTAAAGACTTTTCCGTATCTGTCCATTTGTTTATTGCTGCAATAAATCAGGGTTTAAGCTAGGATTTTGAGGGCTTAAGTTAATTTTGCATGATAAGAAAATCTATCTTTCTTGTGTATCAGCTTGGCATGATAGGACTAAGGCGGTTATAGCATTGGCTTCAAATCATGTTAAATGTGTACTTGCATTTGTATACATATAAAAATATAACAATAAAAATTAAAACAAAACAGCTATTATACTTTAGAATAGTTACTATTCAACATTTTAAACAGCTACTTGTACTATTGTCTAAAAAATGTTAACATTGAAATGGCAATTATTAGCATCAAGAAAAAGAGTTGCAAAGCATCTTTGAAGTATGTTTTATCTGTGTGTAAAAAAAAATAAAGAATAGAGAAAAATCAGCAAAATAAATTAAAGAATACTCCTCCCACGCACACACACAAGACCCTTTTTGCTTTGCACAGACAGATCTTGAGAAGGTATTTCAATACTGGGAAAAATTATGATTGAGTTATCTTTCTTGGAGCGAAATTATCGTTTTCAGGTATGCTCTTACCTTTAAAGGCTTGTACACAGTAGAAGTGAATACAATCGATGACCACTGATTAGTATTTTAATACCAGAAATGTGGGCAGACTAAAAAAGGTCTGATTTTGAAAAATTCACAAATTCCAGTTTACAGATGCTTATAAGTTTATTACATGTTTTGGTATTAATGTAAATTATGTTTTTATCATAGAACCTACAGAAGACGTTGCAAATTTTGTGGTCCTTTAAAAAATTTATTCAAATCAAAATGCCGACTGACCAATTCTATTCTATGAATTAATTTTGAGGATCATTAATGACCTATTGGATAGGTGTATATTACCTGCAATAACAAATTATGACACCTTTTGTGACTTTTAATAGCTTGAGGTTGTTAACTTGTTATGAACATGTAAAATTTGTTTTTTTTTTTCTTTTACAAATTTAAGGGACGAAATTTATCAGAAATACTTTTATCATTTTGAAAAAAGTTTCGTAATGGGAGAAAATGATGAGCGTTGGCAAAATCACTGAATTAATTTAAATTGAACTAAATAGTCTTCCCAATTTATACTCTCCCCAACATAAAGTGCTGGTTTCTTTATAATGTTAGTATTTTGTAAGTTTAAATTATAATTATGCCAGAAGTTGGTTCATTTCTAATGCTAGTGTTATTTGAACCACATGTCATTTCATCATTACGGAATTTATGATTGGTCCCATTTACCCCAACTTGATATGTCCATCGGACATCAAAGGTAATGCTTTGTACAATGTCCCCTGATTATGAGGTTCGCCCCTGTCCAAAGTTCAAGGTAAATCAACAAAATTCAGTCTACCTTGTTGGGCATCAGATTCACCAGAGGCCATTGTTCGCCTCCAACTACAGGATTCTCCCTGAGCATTATCCATTGCTGTTTGATTTAAAAACATACCTAGACACTCTGTCAGAATGGGCGGATTCCTTTGGGTAACCAATCAAGAGAAAAAATTCTGGCTCTCCATCCACACTCTTTACCAGTTTTTCTCATCCAAATTTTATGAAACTCAAACACAATGCTAAGAACCAAAACTAGCAGACAGAGTTTGAATTTGGGCAGTGAGTCACTTACTGTTCTAGAGTTATGCCCCTTTTTAACTTGGAAAATTTCAAAGCTTGAGTGGGGGCATGCGTGACCTCAGACACATTCTTCTTATATTTAGAGTTATGTCCCTTAATCTAGTTCCTCAATTACAAATTTAAGAAATATCTACTGCTCCCTAAAGGGGCTGCATTTGTCATAGCTAAACGAAGTGTTTAGGGAAGTTATCATTTTTAAAGCATTGAAGTTTATGTTTATGCTATGGTAATGCCAATTTTAATATTGCAACTACGAATCATATCCGTAGAGACATTTAAAAAATGGAAATTAAGTAATGTTAATGCATTGTAGTTCCAAAATATTCCAATGTTTGAACTTTGATTTTACCTTGCTCTAGCTGGGCAGGGAATTCTTTTTGCCCGCTTAGGCCTCCAAAAAAAATGGATTTGACTCGTTGACTTTTCAGCTAACACTTTATGCAAATTCAAATAATTACATTTTTCTTTTTCAGGATAGTGAAGCAAGGTTAAGAAAAACGGCCCTAACAGAAACAGTGTCATCAACACCATCATACACACCTACACCAGAAACTAAACAGGATTTACTGAGTCAGATAACAGCGTTCCCTAATATAGTTATTATTATTGCTGCACTTATTATAGGAGTTCTTCTGGGGAAAATGCTGTTATAACTATAACTGTACATGTGAATGCAACAAAGTGACTATAAGACTGGACTTTAATAACTTTTAAAGAAATAGACATTTTAATTTGTAACTGTCAATGTTTAAATTTAAAATAAGTAATTTGGTGTAATAGTCTGATTGGAACAAGACCAAATTAGGAAGCTTATCATTCATCACTATAGTGGTCGGTTAAGGACTTATTTAGCTTCAAAGTATCTCGTTTAGAAAAAGTTGGAAATTTGGTCCTAATTTTTGCTTCTAGTTATTTTTACAAATTTTTTTTATTAATATATTTGAATTATTAATTGTCCTTTTTTGTGAATAACACATGTTTTTATTAAAATTGTGGTTCAGTTTTCCAACAAAATTGAATGATAAGGAAATGTGATATACAAGATGTTGAAAGTAGCACTACATATATAAAAAGCAAACACTTTTAAGGAATATGAGTGAAGTGGAAATAATTAACGATAGTGAGGGATTTTGTAATCACTCTGTGTAATAAGATTTTGTTGTTATTTAAGTAATTGATATAGATAATGCCAGAAATTCAATTAAAAATATATAAAACTCATGGAAAAGATGAGCAGAAGACAAGTCTAAAAAAATGAAGTCTTGTCAAATAAAATGAAAATTGATAGGGCACTTGTTCTACACATGTGTTTAACTTCCAAAACGTTATCTGCATGCAAAAAAGTGGCAAAATACAAGCAGTCTTGTGTATTTATTATATTTCTAACATTAAACAATACATGAATGCTAAAATCATTTCTTAATTTCAAAAGTGATGCATGTTATAAGTCATTATTGAATGATATAATTTCATACTTGTATGTACTTTCATCAAATTGATAGAATACTATATGGTGTATTAGATGTGTTCATGCATATGTATTATATGAAAGGTGTATTATCATTTAACTTGTATGTTTTAGGAGTTTTGTTATTAAAAACAGTTTGATAAAGCATATAGTTCCTGGAATAATTTTATACTTAATCTATCGAAAATTCTATTAAGGTGCTAGCTTTGAATTACATTATATTTTAATTCATTACAAATCTGGTTTTGCACAAAACCCATAAAATTATCTGAAATGTTGATTATAGGAACTGTATGACTATCTTTCAAAGTGAACTGAATGATGATCATGTGCACATGTGCATCTTTAGGCCTTTGTACAAATGTTGTATATTTCATTTATTAGAACAAAAATTTAAGTTGATGCACTGTTTTATTTTCCATGGTCTTATTTTGTTTTGTTTTAGTTTTTTTATGAAAATGTTTACTTTTTCCATTGTTATTCTTTTTGTTTGTTTAGACTGTTTATTTAAATAAGTTCTTTTCTTAAGTATTGCCTTATTTAAACTAGGTTCTATGAAGTCTAGTTGAAGGTCCATAATTTCTTTTGTTTTATTTATGAAAGACAATAAAATAAAAAGAAAACAATTTTATACTTTCACACCCACAGAATACGGAACAATAATAAAATGTTGTACAAATATGCGATACATTTCTGCTATCTGACATTTAAAACTTGAAATCTTATACAGTGGTTGTGACAATTATGCCAAAATATAGGGATTTTCAGAGGTAAGAAAGAAATATAAAGTCCCCTTGTACATATGTCTCATCACAACCATATCAAAGCTTTGGGTATTGTATTGAAAAGAAGAAATATGGAGTAGTTTTGTAACATGTTGGTTGATACTTAATATGCAAGTTTTTCTTTCTTAAATTATACTCGAACATATGTCAGTTTTGATGTATGATATTTATAATTTATTAGATAAGATGTTACATGTATTTAATACAATATCTTCTATTTTCCTGCTACCCAATGCATAACTGAATAATGTTCTCCCTTGTATGGAAATATTACATATGTAAATTGAAGCTCTTTCTTTCAAATACTATTAACCAGCTTTCTAGAATACCAGTGATATAACACTTATTAAATTTTCATAATTATTATTTATTAAAAAGACTTTCTGACGTATAATCTTAACAGGATAATTTTCTGGGGTAATAGTGCAGAGAAGAGATGGGGAAATGCTGGACACCTGTCTTGAATTGAAAATGTCTGACTGGAATACATTTTATTTAACATTAGCTGTGTATTGACAACTCCTTACTTGAATTATTAAATGAGTGGTGTATATATTTTATATATGTTCTTTACAATGAAAATAACATTGAAAGCACCTTACTCTATTTCTTGTCTGATTTATACTTTCCAAACCTTTGTAAATATAAGCAACATGCGGCTTGTCTTGTCCTAATTTTCTTCTTCGTTGGTTTAAATTCTCTTATCTCCCTGCTTTTGCACAAGTGACTACATGGAAAAAGGTTTACAGTATGACATTACACACTTATAAGCATTTTTGCAGATAACCAAAGAAATAAAGTGAAAGTTTGTCTAGTGGTTATCTAAAAATCATTACAGAAACAGATTCTACCGCTGCATGCATACACTACTTTCTCAATGTTCCAAGACTTAAATTTGAAATTGAATTATCTTGGCACTTAAAAAAATTGTATGTGTTAAGCTTCAGCCTTCAACAGGTTGCACTTGTATAAAAGGAATCACAATTCCTCTTAAACAGTTCAATCCACATTTTTTTTAGGCTATAAATTGGTGTTCATTTTGATTTTCAGTGTTTCTGATGGTTATGGTCTTGTCGGTCCCTTGTATTTTTTTTTATTTCAAATTTTCCCCTTTGGCAATGTCTTTTGAAAGAGAATTAACATGTTAAGATTGTTTATATATAAAATTTAGTAGTTTCTTTAGGTTAGACGTGGACCAGTCTTCTTTTATTTGATGCTTTATTACCAACTACATTGTGTTACCAGCAGAATTTAACATGAGTAACACCAGAATGTCACTAGTGGAACAACAGTAGTCTTCTTCTTCGATTCATGTTTTTTATTATATTTTTCTCTCCTTTTTTTGACACTGGTACATTTTTATATTGTGACAACTGTGGAGAGAAAAGAAATATCTAATGAAGACTTAAATTAGTAACAGTCAGTTGGAAGATATAGATTCTTTCCATTTCCATGTTTTTCACAAGCTTCTATTTGAAAAGTTCAATTTATCAATTTGTTCTTTACATTACAAGTTTGCCATCTGGTAAAACAAAAAGCAAAAAAAAAACATCACTGACAACTTGAAAAAAAAGGTTATCTCCCATACTGCGAGGAATACAAATGCACAACTTTTTCACAAAATAAGTGAATAAAGTGGATAGATATTAAGTTAGGCAAAGGTTTACAAGACCAAAATGATACAATTGCTGATGAACATATACCATTAGACTTAAATTAAGGAAAAGGCATAAATGACCAAAATGATATAATTCCTGAATGACATCTACCTGTAAATTAAAAAAAGACTGATATTTTATACTAGTATATATGTAGTTTTCATTTTTTACATCATATTTCAACATTAGTATTGGATAGTTTGGTTTAAACATGATATAATTATTTGTTTCCTCATTTTAGAATGTAATGTCTAAGAACTGACAGTGTGCAAACTTCAAAATACCAAAGCCAAGTCAGGTTTTAAGTACCGAAACTTGAGCAAGGGTGGCATGGGATATTTCAAAATAATTTATTAAGACTTTATTACTGTTAAAATTTATCTGATCAATTATTCCAGTCATATTTGTGCAATTTAATTGAGAATACTTAAATGGTTTTCAGTGTAAAATCATGTATTTTATTTATGTGGTGACTTCCTGCTTTGAATGTAATACAAGTAATCAGTTGTATATTCAGTATGTAACATTATAGGTGTAAACATTCTAACTGATGTTACATAACCATCATTTCTACTGCTTCAACCATTTGTTACTTTCATGGGACAACATTGAAGAATAGAATGGAGAAAGTCCTGAAATGAAAGTGTACAAGTCATTTAGTTTGTTAAAATAAACTTTTATGATGATACTGATGTTATATTTATTGGCATTGATTCTCTTTTTCTGTCATAAACACACCTACCCTGTTGGTTATATAGCTCTTTATGTATTCAAATACTTAAAAGCCCTTAGCTTTTATATTGTATGGATGGAGAGTTCCGAATGAAGGTTTATCCAGAAGAGTGCTTCAGAGGCACCAATTTGATAAAGCTTTATTTTCTTTTTACACAGTGAAAAAAGTAGATAAAGAGATTTATACGCAAACTCGTACAAATGATTACCTATTTTTTATACGACCGCAAAAAAAATTTTGTGGTCATATATTGGTATGACGTTGGCATCTTCGTTGTTGTCCTGCGTCGTCCGAAGACACATTGGTTTTCGCACTCTAACTTTAGTTTAAGTGAATGGATCTCTATGAAATTTTACCACAAGGTTCAATACCACAAAAGGAAGGTTGGGATTGATTTTGGGGGTAATGGTACCAACAGTAAAGGGATTAGGGGCCAAAAAGGGGCCAAAAATAAGCATTTTTGTAACTTCCAGACATAACTTGTGTGTTAGTGTATGGATCTCTCTGACATTGTACCACAAGGTTCTATATCACAAAAGGAATTCTGGGATTGATTTCGGGGGTAATTGCCTCAAAATTTTAGGAATTAGGGGCCAAAAAAGGGGCAAAAAACAAGCATTTTTCTAGTTTCATGACAATAACTTGTGTGTAAGTGTATGGATCTTTCTGAAATTGTACTACAATGTTCCATGTCACAAAGGGAAAGCTGGGTTTGAGTTTGGGGGTAATTGGCCTAAACATTGAGGAATTTGGGGCCAAAAAGGGGCCAAAAAACACATTTTTCTAGTTTCCAGACAATAACTTGTGTTCAAGTGTATAGATCTCTCTGAAATTGTACTGCAAGGTACCATACCTCAAAGGGAAGGCTGGGATTGAGTTTGGGGGTGATGAATCATAAGGGGGTTCAAAAAATTTGGGGGGGGGGGATTTTTTTTTTTTCCTTTTTTTTTTCTTTTAAAATTTTCCATTTTAAGTTGGTTATTTCTGATTTATATTTAAAAGCAAATAATAATGATATGGTAGGAGATACACACCAAACAGGATGTGTAAATTATTATATAATAAGTATTGTGCAATAGCAAGAAATTTTCAATTGCACAGTATTGCACAATAGCAAGAAATCTTCAATTGCACAGTATTGCGCAATAGCAAGAAATATCCAATAGCACAATATTGCGCAATAGCAAGAAATTGTCAATTGTACAGTATTGCGCAATAGCAAGAAATATTTAATTGCACAGTATTGTGCAAAAGAAGATACTTCGTATAAATTGCTTATTTGAATTCTTAGGGTTCTTTAATATGCTGAATCTAACCGTGTATTAATTTTTTGGATTTTGGGCCCCGTTTTTAAATTGGTCCATATTGAGGTCCAAAGGGTCCAAAATTAAACTTTGTTTGATTTCATCAAAAATTGAATTATTGGGGTTCTTTGATATGCCGAATCTAACCGTGTATTTAGATTCTTAATTTTTGGTTCCATTTTCAAATTGGTCTACATTAAGGTCCAAAGGGTCCAAAATTAAACTTAGTTTGATTTTAACAAAAATTGAATTCTTAGGGTTCTTTGATATGCTGAATCTAAACATGTATTTAGATTTTTGATTATGGGCCCAGTTTTCAAGTTGGTCCAAATCGGGGTCCAAAATTAAACTTTGTTTGATTTCAACAAAAATTGAATATATGGGGTTCTTTGATATACTGAATCTAACCATGTATTTAGATTTTTGATTTTTGGGCCCCGTTATTAACTTTGTCCACATTGAGGTCAAAAGGGTCCAAAATTAAACTTTGTTTGATTTCATCAAAAATTGAATTATTGGGGTTCTTTGAAATGCTGAATCTAACCATGTATTTAGATTTTGGATATTGGACCATAATAGGTGAATGTCCAATTTAAAATTTTTAAGTTCTTAGACCACATTCATTCTGTGTCAGAAACCTATGCTGTGTCAAATATTTAATCACAATCCAAATGCAAAGCTGTATCAAGCTTGAATGTTGTGTCCATACTTGCCCCAACTGTTCAGGGTTCGACCTCTGCGGTCGTATCAAGCTGCGCCCTGCGGAGCATTTTATTTGCAATTGAAAAGTTCAGTTTGAATTTTTCTTGTAAACATTTTAGACATGAAATCAGTATTGGTCATGTAATATGTCTACCGGGTAGTTTTGTTTTAGGTGACTTAAGCTTAGATATTTTCTGCAGTTCCTACTGAGCATTTTTGTAAAAAACACATGATAGTTTTGAAAACAGCTCTTCATAGAATGAAAACACTATTGACCACCTGCAACAAAATGTATTTACATGAGTGGGACAATGGTTTTAAAAAAAATTACGATAGCATTTGGTTTCATAAATCATTGTTTGTTTTAAATTTTGGTTTTGATGAAAGTCTGAACTGATATTCTTTAATTATAAGTCAAGTTATTCTCTGGAAAATATTCAGATATTTACATATATTCTTTTAATGCATAAAGTGGATATTGAAATAATGAATAAAAAGATGTGGGGTATACGTTGATAAGACAGCAACCCAATAACACAAAAAAATACAACCTCTTTGAAGTTTGTTTTAAAAAAATGTAACAGTATAAAACTTACCTACTGACTAGTTTAAAAGGAGATCACATGTAGAAAAGACCAATGTCTTTTACTGTAACTGAATAATAATGACATTTTGTAGGGTCATATTTTTAGCTCACCGGGGCCCCATGTGAGCTTATGCCATCACTTGGCGTCCGTCGTCGTTGTCGTCTGTCGTCGTAAACTATTTCAAAAATCTTCTCTGAAACTACTGGGCCAAATACCTTCAAACTTTAACTAAATGTTCCTTAGGGTATCTTGTTTATAAATTGTAACCGAAGTTTGTATCCATCGACAAACATGGCTGCCATGGCTAAAAGTAGAACATATGGGTCAAATGCAGTTTTTTGCTTATATCTCAAAAGCTAAATCTTTTAGAGCAAATGTGACATGGGGTAAAATTGTTTAATTGGTCAAGATCTATTGGCCCTGAAATTATCAGACGAATCGAACAACCCATTGTTGGGTTGCTGCCACAGAATTGGTAGTTTTAACAAAATTTTGCAGTTTTTATACGACCGCAAAAAATTTTTGAGGTCGTATATTGGTATGACGTTGGCGTCGTCGTCGTCGTCGTCGTCGTCGTCGTCGTCGTCGTCGTCGTCCGGCGTCGTCGTCCGGCGTCGTCGTCCGAATACACAATGGTTTTCGCACTCTAACTTTAGTTTAAGTGAATGGATCTCTATGAAATTTTACCATAAGGTTCAATACCACAATAGGAAGGTGGGGATTGATTTTGGGGGTTATGGTACCAACAGTTAAGGAATTAGGGGCCAAAAAGGGGCCGAAAATAAGCATTTTTGTAACTTCCAGACATAACTTGTGTGTTAGCATATGGATCTCTTTGACATTGTACCACAAGATTCCATATCACAAAGGGTCAATGCTGGGATTGATTTTGGGGTTAATTGCCTCAAAATTTTAGGAATAAGGGGCCAAAAGGGGGCAAAAAACAAGCATTTTTCTAGTTTCATGACAATAACTTGTGTGTAAGTGTATGGATCTTTCTGAAATTTTACTACAAGGTTCCATTTCACAAAGGGAAAGCTGGAATTGAGTGTTGTGGTAATTGCCCAAAACGTTTAGTAATAAGGGGCCTAAAAAGGGGCTTAAATTAGTAATAAGGGGCCTAAAAAGGGGCTTAAAATAAGCATTTTTTAGTTTCTAGACAATAACTTGTGTTCAAGTGTATGGATCTCTCTAAAATTGTATTACAAGGTACCATACCACAAAGGCAAGGCTGTTATTGAGCTTGGTTTGGGGGGAAAGGGGGGTGGGGGTGATGAATCATAAGGGGGCGGGGGTCAAAAAAGGGGTAATTTTTTTTTTTCCTTTTTTTTTTGTTTAAAATTTACATTTTAAGTTAGTTATTTTTTATCACGAAGAGAAAGTAGGAATTGAGTTTTGGGGTTAATTGCTCAAACATTTATGAATAAGGGGCCAAATATTGGTCAAAAATAAGGATTTTTTTAGTTTGCAACAAAAACTTGTGTTCAAGTGTATGGATCTCTGTGAAATTGTATTGCAATGTACCATACCACAAATTGAAGGTTGTGATTGAGGTGGGGGATGATGAATCAAAAGGGGGTTGAAAAATGTGTGGGAGGTAGGATTTTTTTTTTTTCTTTTTTTTTCTTTAAAATTTTCCATTTAAAGATGGTTGTTTTTCGGATTTATATATGAAAGAAAATAATAATGATACGGTTATATATCATGAGGAATTGAAATTTAAAATTATTTATATTGGAAATTTAAGTTACATTGGAAAGTAATAATTGGCTTTGGAGGGGGGGGGGGGGGGGGGGGTGGTTATGGCTCTTATGTTTAAGGAATAAGGGGAAAAAAGGTTAAAAAACAAGGGTTTCCATTTTAATAGACAAATAATTGAGTAAAGAACATTATTTAAAAGCAGTGTAAGGTTGGTAATTCAAACTCATTTGAATATCTCATCTACACTGCTTTTAAATTATGTAAATATTCAAATTTTAAAGTAAATTTGGATTTTATTAGATAAATACTTACCATCATAAATTCTGAGTGTAACCCCAATTGCGTCATAGGTCAGATGGAAAATCCCGACTAAAAATAAACGTACTCTCACTGGTCCGGACATATACCCCTGTTTGCCCATATTCTCCCATTCAATTTCCTCAAGACAGAAACGTAGGGAAAGGGGATGAAGGGGAGGTGGGTGGGACCTATAATTTATGATGGTAAGTATTTATCTAATAAAATCCAAATTTACTTTAAAATTTGAATATTTTATAGCTATAAATACGTTACCATCATAAATTCTGAGTAACAGAATCTAACGTAAAGCTGAATCCCCTGTAACAGAAGAAACAGGAGGAAAGTTCAATCTTTGTGCTGA